CATTATATTATGTTATTCGATGATTATTAAAATAAATACAGTAAATATGGGAAAATTATAAGATGGTGGTTGGAGGTGGTCAACAGGAAACCCTGGACCCGGGTGCACGCAGTGTCGAGCCATCCAGACTAGTGGCCACATTGCAACTTGATCGATAGCATTCGATCAGCACTGAGAAGAACTTGACATACATGACATTGATCACCACCCATTGGTCAATCACTTGTGATGGGAAAATTATAAAAGTATCCTAGTGGCTGAACATTTACATATTCATTGATTCGAAAATTTTAGGAAAAAAGCTTTGAAACACGTGAAGACTAGCTTTTAGAACTTGTGAATAAATATCAAACTTAAGTTATAACAACCGTAAAATTAGATAGATTAACAAAGTAAATAATGGTTAAGCTTCAAAAAAGAAAAACATAAGAATGATAGAAAAGATTTTTCCAACTGAGAAATTTAAATAATACCTGCTATGCCATTAAAAAAATATAAGTCACCAAGCTAGTTTATAATTTGTAACTGTAAGCAAGAATGGATAGTGGCTAGCAGTGGAATCTAGTTTGACGTGTGTTTCGTCCTATTTGAGACTCGTCAGCTGGATTTAAGACTATATCGAGGCAATACGAACTGTATGCGCATATGGTCAATAAGAGACTGATCAAATGCAATCCTAAAGATCAATGTGAATATTCAAAGAAACAATACCAAGTGGTATGAGATTACTATCTATACTTATGTTTCACATCTGTAATCAATTTCATTAAATAATTACATTATTATTTATCTAAAAATAATTAAATTCATTATGAATGTCTTTTTTTTCACCTTTTTTTTCCAACTTTTTACGTTAGTAACTATTTCTATGTGAAATAAAGATAATTAAAAGTTGCTTATTATCATAGATTTATTCATATTTTGTTTTATATTAAATTCATCCATATGATTAAATTAGTTATTATTGGTGGAAATTGAATTATGCAACTATGTAGTAGATTGAATCTACGAGGTGTATATATGCTATTTGTATCTTTGTATTGATTCTTTCTTTAGGACTTGATTTAAATGCCCATGGAGTTAGTTATTGAGTTGCCAAGTTGAGGTAGTCATTGATTTATACAATTAGGATATATTTTCATAGTTGAAATCATAAGTCAATTGAAACTAGACCACCATCGAAAACCTGGAAGCACTGGATGGCCGTTTTGTCCTATTATGGGACTCCTCAGCAGTGCGCGTCTACTAACCGGCACTCGTGAGATTTGATTCCAGGACCTACCAGTCTGGATCCAGAGCACTTAACCGATAGACCACTGAGCCGGCATCCGATGATGTTAATGTCTAACTTCAACCAATCCAAGTTGAGCAACCATTCATCAATTGTCTTCAGTGAATTCTTATCTGACAACAGACGTGGTTTGAACTTCACTGGTCACTGCTTCTCAGTAGAACTCGATTTTTCACATTTTCCCTCCGTAATTTGCTATTTGAAATAAATGTAAAATTAGTGACCACTGAGCGCACTGCTGAGGAGTCTCATATTAGGACTAATCCGCCGTCCAGTGTTTCCAGGTTTTCCATGGTGGTCTAGCCTCAATTGACTCATGCTTTCAACTATTAACATACTGAAATCTGCACAAAACCCATTCTGATCTATAATTAGGATATGGTTTAACATTGTTTGGTTGCATCTTCCTGTTGTTGATGATACGAACTGATATTCATCAGTCTTTACTAGTGTTTTTGTCCATTTTGAGCCTAATGTTTTGATAGTGTCATTCTGTAAGAAATAGTTTCAGTACAGTTTAATGGTGTTTAGCAGTGTAATCTGGGATTTTAATAGACGTAGCTCTAAACAAATGGCGATATCAAGTTAAGTAACACAGAATTTTTTATTTTATTTTATTTAAACACATAAATATTGGTACAAAGGGGACACCAGATATATATGCGCCACACAAATCTCATTTGATTTGTGTGAGGGCTGTGATATTTCCCAGGTGCCCAAACTGAAGCAGGTGGTTTTCTTAGGGAGCTACACCCGGAGCCTTTGACCTAAAGGTCTAACCCACAAGGCAGTGGAGCATGATGAGGAGATGAAGTCCCATGGTAGCCGGTGACCAACGCTTGATTCATACACCGTTTGTTCTCTCAGGATACCGAAGCCAGCTCATGTGCACCATTGGTTTGTAATCAGGGTTTACCAACTATCCGAGGTGGAATACCCGTGTCCACTAATCCAAACATTCGGATATTCGCTTTTCGTCCTCTCAATTTTGTAAACAACACTCCCGCCACGAGAATGCAGTGAGTAGGACTTCTATGGAAGAGGCTATATACACGTGTCAATGTGAGAGCATTTTGAGAAGGAGAGTGAACTTTTCCCACTCTCTGTTGTACCAGGGCATTTGGGGGCTTTAGTAGAGACTAATCAATCAATCACAGTCCTTAGTATTCAAAATGAGAAGATTCGATCGCTTCAAAATTTTGAATTAATGGTACTTCATCAACTTAACAATATTTTCTCCAAAATAATAATCAGTTAGAAATTCATCAGATGTAAATTTAGGTCTAAAGGCAATATTATATAATTAGTTAATTATTAAAAAAAATCATTGCGTAATTACAAAGATTTCAGTAAGTTTGAAGTTAAGTAATTGAATATCAATATTCACTGTTATTTATAGAAATAATATGTAATGAATAAAATATGTATCAGGAATACTAGGCTATTATATGATTAAGTGAGATAGACTACTTAAGATGAAATTCTAAATCAAAACTGGATAAGCAATTGAAAATGTTGGGGAAATTTTGTAACGAATTCTTATCATTGTTCGATTAATTAAAAACAGAAGGGGGATTTTGTGGAGATTTTAGGAAGTTTCTAGTTGAAATCATTAGTCAGTTGAAGCTAGACCACTACGGAAAACCTCGAAGCACTGGAAAAAAATTGAGGAACTCATGATTTCAGCCATAAAATTATTGAAATCTCCACAAAATCCTCTTTCTGATATTAGTCATAAGCGCACTAGTGAGTGTCTTTAACAGGGTATTTCTTGGAGTTCTAGTGAGAATCAGTGATCAGTGAAGTCCAACCAGGTCTATTGTGAGATAGTAACTCATTGAAGACAATGATGGATGGTTATTCAATTTTGTAGACGCCGTTCGACGCCGGCTCAGTAGTCTAGAGTTTAAGTGCTCGCGCGCCAGACTGATAAGTCCTGTGTTCGATTCTCGTGAGGCGGGATCGTGGATATGGACTGCTGAAGAGTCCCATACTAGAACGAAACGGCCGTACAGTGCTTCCATGTTTTTCGTGGGGCTCTAGCTTCAATTGACTAATGATTTCAACGCTTAATTAATATTATCTGTAGACCTGATTTTACGTTTGTTGAGTTTTTAATTAATAACTGTTCTAAAGAAAACATTATTAAGTTAATCAATTTATGCATTAATTCAGAGTCTTGATAAGGAACTGATTAAAAAGGAATATTTTTTTATTCAACTTATGTCCTAATGAGAATTTCATTAACTACATATTCAAGCCTAATTATTGACATGTTTCATTATCTACTCTTTATATTCTTATAACAAGTGTTAGTCAATCCTGTTGACTACTATAAAATATAAACATCAAGTTATTACTTACTTACTTACGCCTAGTACCCCTCGTCTAGGAGCATAGGCCGCTCACCAGCATTCTCCATCCAACTCTGTCCTGGGTAATCCTTTCCAGTTCTTTCCAGTTGTTATTCATCCGTTTCATATCCGCCTGTAGCTCTTCTAGAGTAACTGCCGGTCTCAAGCCTGAGTAAAGGAGGAGGGTTGTGCATGGGGTTAGCGACCCCATCCTGTAGAAAAACTAACTGGCTAATAAAAACACTAACCAGAAAAAATAATTCAAGCGTCAAATTATACTGTATAGATACTGTTACTTATGTGATGTGTATGATATGAACTAAGTTTCAACTTTATAATTAAGATTGATTGGGACAACGTTTCATTAGTACAGTTATATGTACAAATAAATGTTATAATCAATTATCATTCATAAATATTTTTGACAAATAATCTTTACTTACTTCACTTAATTCCTTAAAGCACTTCGCTTACCCGAATAGTTTCTTTGCTTTCAAGATGATTTTCAGGAATCAATGACAAAAAAATAAAGTACCATTCGACATCAAGAAGTACTATACACCTACTATTTTATTATGAAAAATATACCATTTAAGATACGTATGAAAGTTTAAAAAATTTAGTATTTACAAAAAGGCCTATGATTGATGAATTACACTCAGTGCAAAATAGCCAGATTACTTCAATTTTCCTTTTTATCTTCACATGTCACACTTAATCAATTCAACAGTAACATTTTTTTTCTTGATATTTATCACTTAAACATTTATGATATCAGGGAAGGGAATCACAGGTATTTGATATCTTATAGACCCTCCACGCTGTTCATCAAATATCCAGCAACAGTTTCCTATGTATTCACTTAGTATTGTTTGTTTGAATCTTCCCATCGATGTGTTAGGACTGCGACTGGTCAGTCTCTAATTGGCATATGTGCATACTGTGCGTATTGCCTCAATATAGCCTTGATTCACAAGCATGATAAGCAAAGATGGATAGTGGCTAACAGTGGAATCCAGTTTGAAGCGCATTTCGTCCTATTTGAGACTCGTCGGCTGGATTGATTTTCACTCTGAGACTTGAACACAGTGGTTTTTACTTCAGGACTCCGTAGCTGAGTGGATAACATGTTGGCGTTTGAAACGAAAGGTACTGGATTCAAGTCCTAGAGTGAACATCAACTTGAGATGTATGTACATCTAGCTGATCAGTCCTAAATAGGATGAGACGCGTGTCGTGGATCCCACTACTAGCCACTATCCATATTTGTTTATCTCTTGTACAATGTTTAAATTATGCAATATTGCCAATTAAAAATAATTCGATATATACGTAATTTTTTTATTGATTTTTAGCCTTATGGTATTAATTATGAATTGACTGCATTTATTGGTCAACGAATTGATGACAATCAACCAGCAAGGTAAGTCATTTTTGATAGATAATCCATTAAATTTTTCTACAATGTTCAATATTATTTTTTCTTGGTATCCCAAAATTCTATTATCATTTTCATCCTATAAAATAATTTCCCATTTATGTACTTATAACAAAAGATAGATTGAATTCATTTGGTAATATTTGTTTGAATCTTCTCATTAATGTTTAGAACTGCAGTTGATCAGTCTTTTATTAACAGATGTAAACTGTGTTCGGATAGTTTCGATATAGTCTTAATTCACAAGCATTATAAGCAAAGATGGGTGGTGCCTAGCACTGGAATGCAAGATGCACTTTTCGTCCTATTTGGGACCTGTCAGATGGATGAACCTGAATCCCAGAGTTGACGTTCACACCAGTGTCGTTCGCTTCAAACGTCATCACGTTATAACTCTATTGACTATCAAGTTAAAGATATGTAAAATGTACATAAAGTGAGTTTGCATAAACTGTGGTGTGTGCTACTGATATCAACAGATATAAATAGTATGTATCACCAATCGAAAACCAAATATTCGGAGGCAGAAGGTTGAGAAAATCTAGGAAAAGAGAACGAGAACATAGATCAATTGGTCTGGAAATGAAGGAACAACAAAGTCTTAGACAATTGATAAATATTTTGTAAATGAAGTATTTACTGTATGGTTATCAGATTTTACTGGGAGAAGCTGTATTTTAGTTGTCCCCACTTGTGTGTTCTCGTTTACTACAATACGTTTGAAACAAAATAACAAGGTTATTAATAGTTATTCAAACATAAACTTATTGGTACTTTGTATGTAGTGGGTGTTATATACATATTTTTACAGCTAGTCTGACTGATAAAGGCTAGAATGTTGATTGCAATACTCTTTTTTTGTTTCGAAAATATATATTCAGTTAAACGAAACAGTTTAATGTGAATAGTGGTTTCTAAGGTTTTGTAATCTTTTCAAAATAACAATTTTCAAGAGATTTATGTCATTTCCTAGCTTAAATTCAACATTGAAACAATATGTCCACTTACTATGTATTTCATATTGTCATAGTTCATATTGTACTGACAACAACACAACAGTATTACCGGGTGAGACTAAAATTTATGGACAACCGTTAAGTGACACTAAACTGACCTTTCGAGTATCCACCTAATAACTAGGACCAGATGAGGGTTATAAACCTATGTGAGGAATTAGAATTATGATTTACAGTTGATGGTCAAGGTTTAACATTAGATTTAGTGAACTAACATCACCTGTAATGTCAAAACTCTATTTGGTAAAATGGATGAGTGAATTTCGTTCCAAAATCCGAGACCTTTTATCTTATACGTGATTGATTCGTCTATAAATTATGGTCTCGCCTACCGTTATCCAAATTAAAATATATGATCAAATAACTCCAAAACGAAATTGACAATGTAAAAATCTAAACATTCTTGGGAAAACTTTGAGATTTATCAACTAAAAAGATATAAAAATAATAAGTTCACTGAGTATTGTTTGTTTGAATCTTCCCATTGATGTGTTAGGACTGCGACTGGTCAGTCTCTAATTGGCATATGTGCATACTGTGCGTATTGCCTCGATATAGCCTAAATTCACAAGCATGGTAAGCAAAGATGGATGGTGGCTAGAACAGTATGCACGTATGACAATTAGAGACTGACCAGTTACAGTCCTAAGCATCGATGGGAAGATTCAAACAAACAATACTTAGTGAATTTAAACTTCACCCTATTGCACAAACAAATGGCAATCAGGACTCAGTAGCCGAGTAGATAACGCGATAGCGTTTAAAGTGGAAGGTACTGCATTCGAGTTCCAGAGTGAACATCAACTCTGAGATGAAGGTACATCCAACTGACGAGTGCCCCAAAAATAGGACGAAACCCGCATCCTGGATTCCACTGCTAGCCACTATCCATATAAAAATATTGTTTAGCTCCTCATAAAATTATATATTCAGATGATATCATCTCATTATACAAGGAGAATTGACTAAATGAACAAATATATCTTCTATTATTGAAAGTGGTTATTTTCATTTCTCTTTATTATATACCTCTTAATTCATACGATTACACTAAATACAATGCTTAATGAATAATACTACTGTTAGAATATGTAGTTACGTAGAATCTTCGATGAAACGATTATTGAATATATAACTGCTAGCCTAAATTATAATTAACATCTTTCAGGTGGGTTATTCGTAAATTTAGTGTCGATCTAGTCTATTTCAGTTCTTTTTATTGATTTCTACTTAATTTTGCTACAAATAATTCATTGAGAAGTAGTATCCAGGGTGGCCTGCTTAAACATCTGGGCTACCTGTTTCCGTCATCTATATATTTCAACAAGCACACAACCTATTCAGGTGCGTTTCTGAAAACTGTACAACCTTTCGCTGTAAAGGTTCTAAAAGGCCTAATCAGAGATATCGTGTTTGCTGGGAACATGCAGCAAAAAGAATACACATTATTCATATGTCGATTGACTGAACAGCTGACATCTAACTGGCGATCACTGAATATTTATCGTCAGGATAGACGAAGAAATAAGAAACGTAAACATGATGAAATACTTTATGCTGAGAATTCGATTTTGTACCAAATAATATAATATTGAATAAAGCTAATAATAATAATAAATAAATAATGAACCGTACATAAGAACTTTTGTCTAAATTTGGTTGAATAGTTTCACAGTATTTGAGCGCCGAATCGACGTGAAATATTAAAGAGGTAGAGTGTATTTGTAAATTATCAGCGAATGAATTTGAAGTAAATCCAACGTTTCGCCTGACAATCTGGTCCAAGCTTTTTCAAGAAAATTTAATCAAGTGTCAAAATTATGCTTGATTAAATTATCAGGCAAAATGTTGAATTTATTTTAAATTCATTTGCTGAGATTTTACATAAATGTTCTTCTTTAATAGTATGGACCGGTTCACACTGTAACGTACCATTTTATTGAGTGACATGCAGTAACTCAATCATTTTTAATGCTTAAATCATTTTGAATGAAATAATATAAGATGACTTTGTCACCAGATAAATGAACACCGAAGAAAAATAGTACCGTAAGCCATCGACGGATTCAATCAAATGTACTTGTCATTGTTGAAGTAAAATGCTTGAATGCCCATACTCAATTGTACAGTAATATACATTTGATTTTTTTAATTTCTGTTCATCACTAGATATCTATTACAACTAATCTCAACAGTAATTATTACGGTTCTTCTCGAAATGATCTATTGTTGAAAATTTACCATATTATCATAGTTGAAAGCATGAGTCAATCGAAGCTAGACCAACAAGGAAAACCTGGAAGCACTAGACGGCCAACTCGTCCTATTGTGGGACTACTCAGCAGTGTGCATCTACGAACTCGCCTCACGAGATTCGAACCCAGGACCTACCAGTCTCACGCCAGGGCACTTAACTGTTAGACCACTGAACTGGTCGGCATCCGATGGTGTTAATGTCTAACTTCAACCAATCCACGAAGTTAAGCAACCGTTCACCAATTTTCTTCAATGAGTTCCTATCTCACAACAGCTTCAATTGACTCATGCTTTCAACTATGAAAATACTGAAATCTCCACAAAACCACAAAATATTTTGAATCTGTATTTTTCCCACTAATATACTTCTATGACCGTCTGCAAATTTGGAATGTTAGACACATATAAAATTGAGAGTTTTACTGTCAGATATTATTAACCAGTAAATCGATCTTTATTCGCAGACAAATCATTGCCTTCTTTAAAATATTTTCGAAATCTTATGAATGACTTGTATGTGTACTCTTTTCTTTCTTCCACAACACAAACACTATGAGATAACGATTTGTTTCGTAAATAACCTTAAAAAATCGCCATCCAGGTAATCTGTTCACCGCCTATGTATTCAGTATCCTTTTGTAATAAAACAAATCTGAAGAGCTTCACAAAGCAGCTTATTCTGATTTTTAGAAACGGATTATATTTACCTGCCTAATAATAATGAAACTATGATTTTGTTTAAAGCTATCTCAAACATACCGTGAACTTGGTAAAATATTGATCAGTAATTGTAACATATATATTCCGTGAAATATTCATAACTTTACAAATGAAGTCAGTCAAGCATGAATTCAAGCTTAGGTCATAGAAAAACAATGCTATAATTTTCTTTATGTGATATTAGTTTATTTTTAAGTAAGTTTGATTATTTAAATCTAGTCATCCTAAAAACATGAATCATTCTAGCAATTATAACAATCTGAAGACGAGTGACTTAATAATTAAATAGCCCAGATAGCTCAGTGGTAACGTCTCTGACCGTGATGCTGGGTGACATGGGATCAAATCCGTCAGGAAGCATCGGTTCCTTCAACACTATAAATACATCTTGCTGGTGAGTGTCAAGTAGTACGAAACCTAGGTCCATAGTTTCCTGTTGACTACCTCCAACTACCATCTTATCTCAATATAGCGCACGCATTGTCGAATAACCTAGACTGGTGGCCACATTGCTACTTGATCGATAGGATTCGATTTGCACTAATAAGGGCCTTACACACATCACATTGATCACCACCCAGTAATCACTCAATTGTAAATACTGACATCAACTATTTAACTTATCAGAAATAAGTCACTTCTCTTATAATACTGTTTGTCAGTTCGATGAAATTTGTCAACATACAATGTATTTATTAATAGATTCAGTTTTATTGACTGTTAAGATTGGAGGTAAGTAACAAGCTGATGTTATTTTCCAAGCTCTTTTTTTAACTAAAAATCGATGCATAATTGTGTTAAGTCAAATAACTGTAATATGGTAATATGTTTTAGATTATTTATTAGTCATTTTATGACACAATTAATATTATGTTAATAGAATATTCCATTGAAAATTCCCTTTGAACTGCTTTACAGCACCACAGTATTATATAATTAGTTTAAAGTTTTGTACGAAATTTAAGTCAGTATATGTCAAAACAAGACTACAGATATTATAAGCAAAGATGAATAGTGGCCAGCAGTGGAATCCACGACACGCGTTTAGTCCTATTTTTGGGGACTCGTCAGCTGGATGTACCTGAATCTCATAGTTCATGTTCACTCCGGGACTCGAACCCAGTACCTTTCGCTTCAAACGCCATTGCGTTATCTACTCGGCCACTGAGTCCTGGTAGCCACTTTCTTGTACAATGGGGTGAAGTTTGAATTCACTTAGTATTGTTTACTTGAATCTTCACATTGACGTTTAGGACTACAATTGAAATAAGGCTACATCGACGCAATACGCATAGTATACGTATACGGCCAATAAGAGACTGATCAATTACACTCCTAAACGTCAATTGGAAGATTCAACCAAACAATACCATGTAATATCTATGATTAATGATATTTAGATAGAATCTAGCTTGTTGAATAAATAGTCATTTTTCTTTTATTTTCTCCTTTTTCTTAGTTCAACAGTAACAATTGTTTTAAGAAAATTAACTGCTGGACCAAAGATAACTCAAAGACCTTTACAACCTATTGTTGAATCCATTAAAAAAACTATCAATTTACCATGTTATTATGGTGAATTATTTATCAAAGCATCTATTGAAAAACCGGTAATTTTAATTAACAGTATTTCTTTTATTTTAAAAAAACAACAGAATATCAATTTGGAGATTAATTTTTCCTGAGACAATCTAAGTTAGAATACCATTGAAGCGCTGGATAGCCATTTCTACCCAGTATGAGATTCCTCAGCAGTGCACATGCAGGATTCTAAAAGCGGGACTAGAACTCGGTAGTCTAAAGTCTAGGTATTCGTGCGGGATACCGAAGGACCTTGGTTTATGTCCCGCTTTCAGAATCGTGGGTGTGCATCGCTTAGAGGTCCCACACTAGGATGAAACGGACATTCAACGTTTTAAGGTTTTCCATGGTAGTCTAGCTTAGATTGACTCGCGAATTCAACTGATAAAATATTAATATTTTTTAGATTGAATAAACTGACTGTTTCTACTATTGCGTAGATGAATTTTTATTTAATATTTATACGTGATGAAGTAAACGGGTTTATACATAATACATACTAAAAACTTAACAAAGATAGTCATTTTAATTATTTGTATGAGACGATTATTGACACACTATAAATGCTCAACGGTTGAATTCCGTTTCCACTAATAGTATACTACATACAGCTTGGAATTCAAAGTTGTCAGAGACTCACGAAACATGCAATATCATCAAACTATATAGTTGTAATCTGTTAATTCAACCTCAGTCAGTTAATTAGACTAATCCTTATTCAATAATAACTACAAACAACAAAATTAATTGATACTTATTTGAATCTACAAGATGAGAAGTTCATGTTAAATCGGGTTACTACATATTGGATACCTATTACAAAATTAACATAGTTTTATTATCAACTTGGTATATTTTGAAAGCATTTATGATTTCAAGTTAACTTCGACTGGAAAAAAATTCTGAAAACTAGGTGATGTTTTTGTATTCTTACATTGGTGAGACAACAATTTATGGACGATTCAATCAGAAGCATCCGAGTGATTTCAAAGTCACAGAGCCAATTTCAGTACCTGATGCTCATTTATGAACGATTCACAGAGGATTATAATGAAAACGTGACAATTAAGCGTCTACAATAAATGGGACTATTAAGAAGTTCTTTTATTTGTAATTGCGGTAATCCATTGACTTGTAGACCTTGAACAGACTACCGTGATAATGGTATCTTTCTATGTAATATATGTTAGTGGAAGAAGTCTGCTAGAATAGGAACTTTTTTCCCTCGACCCAGATTGAGACTAAGGCAAATTATAATAACTGCTGCCAACTGTATAATAAAAGCACCAGTAACATTGGTTGCAATAATCGCAGTTGTTACTAAAGCTTCGAGTGTTCAGTGGTATGGGTATTTTAGGGATATATGCGTAATAAAAATGACAAACTTACACAACCGTAGTACACACAAACAATAATGAAGCTATGTAGTCGACGCTGAGAGGGTTTTTATTACCTTATCATGACTCCAGAGACCAAGTATTATGGAGCCATATGGATGAGTTCCTCTACCATATGCATTATCATTTTAGAACCTTTTAATCTCTTTCTAACCTTGACAAGTTTTTGGATCATGTAAAAGAAGTGTATTTATCTTAATTCTTTGGTGTTGTATAATATATTTTTACCCATACTAACTGTTTCCTGATTGGTTAACATTTCTGAAGGTCACTTAAGTTTCCTTCAAAGGTCGTCCATAAATCATAGTCTCGCCAATTAGACTACTGTATAATGTAGGATTCGTTACGGATTCATGACATTGTTGACCGCTCTTCTTGTACATCTTCAATTGATGTATAAACCTTGGTTTCGGCAATACATTTGTTTGCTTTACTATTCATCAGTTTTATTGCTTTCATTTTGTGATCTAGATTTTCTGAACTTCATTTTTTTAAATTTTGATTAACATTACTATGCCGACTTATTCATATTTATTTAGTCGCATAGTAACCATGGTAATCGATTCGATCTTGTAAAGATAATTACTTTCAGACAGTTTATCATCATTTTCATTTATAATATATTTCCTACTATTGATTGTTGTTTATTCGTTCCGACAAAAATCAGACAAATAGGTCTTTTGGTTTTAAGTGTATAAACTAATGATCAATGCCTTACTACTAATGTACTCTGAAAAATGCTTGAAAGTGTCATATAATTCGACTAGGAATAGAGCCGTTAATTATGTTTTATGATTGAGTTCATGAATTGATTGGTCTTAGACCACCAGTGAAAACATAGAAGCACTGGACTGCCTTTTCGTCCTAGCATGGAACTCCTTAGCAGTACGCATACACGATTTCGCACACAAGATTCAAACACAGAACCTTCAGTCTCGCAAGAAAACAATTAACCTCTACACCAATGAACCGACACCCAACGGTGTTAATGTATAACTTCGACCAATCCACAAAACTGTACGAATATCTATTACGTCGAAGGACATTATTAGCTCGTCGTTGTTGATTTGAATGTTGTTAATCTGATCAAGAAATTATGTGGCGGATTTGATGGAATGGTTTGACGAATCCACTAAATGTTTCAGTATTCGTGAGATTTCTCTTGACAAATTGTACGTTGGTGTTCTTGGTAGTGCTACAATTGGACTTAGTGGGATGTTTGGTTTTTGTATCTTCAGTCTGTCGTAGAGTCGAGGGAGTACTGGTCCATTGAATTTCATTCTCCATTGATCTTGCTTTGTTATTTCTCCTGCTTTGACGAGCTTGTTTAACGTTTTTGAAATACGATTGTCTAGTTTTTTGTCTGGATATATGTCTATCGGTTTGTATGTGCTTTTATCCTCGAGTAGTTCCTCGGCTTTCTTGATGCATTCTTCTTTGTCCATAATCACTGTAGTGCGTCCTTTGTCCGCTGGAACGATGACAATATCTTTTGTAGTTCTGAGTCTCTTAAATAGCTGTTTGTTCTTGTGAAGTCAGTTGGTTGTTGCTCTTCATCCTTTAAGTTATTAGTACTATAGATTGTCTTATTTCTTGTTCCGTTTCCCCACTTATTCCAGAAGTTTTGAGTGATGACTCTAGTGCTGCGAAGAATTCTAGTTTTTAAGTCGTCGCTTGTATTGTAGTTTAATCTATGGTATCAACCAATTGGATTGTACTTCAGTATGTTATTAGATAAAATAACTTAATCTCGGGGAGGGGGGTAATATCACAAACTGACCGAATTTTAAAATGCCAAGTAACGAATTTAGTAAACTGAGTCTATTCTGCTTGTTATAGGGGCGAAATATTTTCCATTTCAAATTGTGTATTTCAGGTTTGATAATATGAAAAGTTTTTTTTTACAAGATATACTGTCAAATTTTTTGTAGCCTAAGGAATGATTAACGAGATTATATAGACAGTTGTTATATTCAGTTAATTTCACTGGGTGGCAATAAGAGTTTTTCGTCATGAATTTCTCATTAGTTGATCGTTTTTAACTTTCTTCCGTCTCTAATAATATAACAACTGGTTTATTAGAGCATTTGCTAGTTATCACAGAGCTTTACTGGGATAGTAAACTGTAGTTTTTCTATTGAACACGGATTTTGTGTGTATAACTACATGTTAGTATTTACGAATTTCCACATTTTTATTAAACTGTAAATGGGATAAGCAAAGATGGATAGTGGCTAACAGTGGAATCCAGAACGCGCGTTTCGTCCCATTTGGGGCTCGTCAGCTGGATGTACCTGCATCTCAGAGTTGATGTTTACTCTGAGACTCGAACCCAGTACCTTTCGCTTCAAATGAGATACACTCATTTTAAGCATAACTACCACATGTTTTAAATATGTAATCATTTTTAAGAAATAGTTTACTGATGGTCACTGAGTTTCGAATTAAGGAACATTCAATGGAGTACACCATGAGAAAAATATATAACTACATACTGTGAAACTAATTACTCAGCATGGTCTTGTATATTATCCTAAATGAAAATTTGATATATTAAAAGTCTATGTATTAGTGATTTTTGAATGAATTCTTAATGATTACCTATTTTCCACTTAAAAAGAACGCTTATACACTATCACTCATACTACTCTCACCGACTCGGTAGGAACAGTTTTGCTCTATGCTTGTGAAACCTGGCCTCTCCGAGTTGAGGATGTTAGACGACTCTTTGTGTTCGGTCATCGTTGTCTCCGAAGGATTGCTGACATCCATTGGCAACACCATGTTAGTAATGCAGAGGTTCGGCATAGTGTGTTCGGACGCAGAGACGATAATTCAACTGGTGTCACCATCTTGAAACGCCGACTTCGGTAGCTTGGACATGTTTTACGAATGTCGTCCTAGAGAATTCCACGTCTTTCATTATTTACCGACTCTGGGACTGGTTGGAAACAGCGGAGAGGTGGTCAGTGTATGACATGGTGTCGTGGTATGAAAGAAAGCTGCAAAGGGCTAGCTTCTGTTAGTCCTTTCACGGCTCTCTGGCTGGGGTCCGAGAGATGGTGCAACACAATAGATAGAGACGTTATTAAATATGGCTCAGAATAGAAGCCAGTGGCGAGCCTCCTGTAAACTTCTGTTACTTTCTTCATAAAGAGTCTTCTGGTTGTACGTTCCAGTTCCCCCATAATTACTCTTCTCTTTTTTTCCATTCTATTTTTTATTCTTTTATATATACGCATCTTATCCCTTTCTCTTCCCATTCTCATTGTTTTATGTGGCGCATATATGTCTGGTGTCTCTTTGTACCAATATATATGTGTTTAAATAGATAAATAAATGAATCACTCATACACATTTGTCCGTTTGCACTAATGACTACGTAGCAAGATATAACACTATAACATAATAGTTTGCCATCATCTACAACATTCTAAAGTGTCTACTCACGATATTCTTAGTTTGATAGTAATAACCTTAATTGAAATAGTCAACTTTTACGATAAGCTTTAATGTAGGGACGATATATCTAGATGTTGCATTCATGGAATGGTTCGTGAATCAAACATAAAAGTAGTTTAGGTACCAAATTAATAAATTTTCACCAATTAGTACCTATTATTTTTTTTCAGCTTCCATTCACCTACAAAGTAGTCAGATATCCATTTTGATGTTATTTTGTTGTGAAAAAACTCTGAAACTATGCAGAATAATACAAAAAACCATATAATCAAATCATAACTTTGTACTCATTAGTCACAAGTCTGATAATGGATTTCCAAACATTCAAGTCAAATTCATGATTGCAGGAATAACTCTTATCTGGATCAGGACTAGAACTCACTTATCATATTAAAGGGGAATTACGTAATATCCAAACTAACTAAAATTGAAAATACTGATCAATAGATTTCTACTCAAGTTGCGACGAATCATATTCGTTTCCTAAATTCATTGTAGCGAACTACTTCTCAGTTTCAAATTAGATTGGTACTGTGTTTTCTAAGTCTACATCTGTGTCTCAAAATTCAGTGATACCTCTATTTCGGCCAATTTCTTTACTTTTCTACAATCAGATTCTCTATGTCCGATAATAATTTTGTCAGACTATTCTGATGTAGTACAGTAACTTAGACCGATGCAAATATATTTATTTACTTTGTGTCAATGCAATTTATAACTAACCCATTGTGTAAAAACAACTAAAACCTCTTCTAAACCATTCATTCATAAATTAATTCTATAATAAAGAGGTTCCAAAGTTTTTATGGTAGAAACATAATTTAGTAGGGGTTTTTGTGGATATTCTAATATTTTCATAGTTGAAATCATCAGTCAATTCAAGCTAGATCAACAAGGAAAACCTGGAAGCGATGGACGGCCGTTTCGTCCTGTTATGGGACTCCTCAGCAGTGCGCATCCACGATTCCGCACTCGCGAGATTCGAACCCAGGACCTACCAGCCTCGCGCCAAAGCACTTAACCGATAGACCACTGAGCCGGCATCCGACGGTGTTAATGTCTAACTTCAGCTGATCCACGAAATATAATTATCTAAATACGTCATCAACTGTATAATAAGCATGATATGTTACAATTATTTATTTATTTAAATAGTATTAAACTTAAGGTATGTCCAACAGTAAATTTAGTGAAACAACATCATTATGTTTAAAGATGGATTGTAGCTTTCAGCGAAATTCATGACGTTTGTTTAGTGCTATTCGGGAATTGTCAGTTAGACGTCCCTTCATCTCAGAGTTGATGTTCACTCCACGACTCGAACCCAATACAATTCACTTCAAATGCCATCACGTTATCTACTAATCTACTGAGTTCGAATAGCCACTAGCTTGTACTAACCACCATTTATATTTGCTCATGATGTTTGTGACTTAAGGCAATATCGAGCAATCCGCACTAGATGCATATATGCCAATAACAGACTGTTCATTATCAGTCCTAAACATCAATGGGGAAATTCAAACAAACAATAAAGAAGATGAATCATCGCAATCACTGTCCATCCCAGTCTTTGTAACTAATTATTCAATAGATGTTAGTATAATTTGAAATGAACAATTCAAAGTTGAAAGCGTGAGTCAATTGAAGCTAGACCACCAGGGAAAACCTTGAAGCACCGGACGGTCGTTTCGTCCTATTGTGAGACCCTTCAGCAGTGCTCATCCACGACCTCGCCCCGTGAGATTCTAACCCAGGATCTACCAGTTTCGCGCCAGAGCACTAAACCGATAGATCACTAAGCCGGCATCCAATGGTGTTTATGTCTAACTCCAACCAGTCCACAACGAATCCACGAAAATACTAAATCTCCGCAAAATCGCTTCTGATCAACAATTCAGACCACTGCTTTTTAAAGCTAAAAATTCATTCATTTAGGAAGAAAAGGAAAAGTATTCAGCTGCTATATTTATTAAAGTTATGGTTGGAAATGTCTAAAACTGATGCTCAATTGATCCACTGATTTACAAAGATTACATAATAGGACGAAACGGCCGTCCAGTGTTTCCAGGTTTTCCTCGGTGGTCTAGCTTCAATTGACTCATGCTTTCATCTATGAAACATACCAAATCTCCACAAAAACCCCTTCTAATAATTTAAAAAAAGAGTCTAATGTTATGTACATGCATAGAAACATGTATCTTTCAGTCACACTAACCAATACCATTCCTCACTCCATAATTTCCAAATTTATTTTTTGTTCTATTATCTTTTTTTTCCAGTTATATTATCATGATGAATCTGTATGTGTATCAATAGTATTGGACAATTTATGTCAATTACCTGTTAGGAAACTACAAGTAGCAAGTAATTTCATAGTTTATTGCTAAACGGTTAATTGTTTTTGATGAATTACATTTAAAAGCAAAAAAGAGTTATGTAGTGCATGCTGATTCGTTTTATTTTGTGTATATCGTCAAGTTTTTTATTCATACGATCAGAAAAAAATTTGCCAATAACTTTTGCAGTCCTACTATGGTATGTACTACTTATGAGGACAGATATAAGTAGTATGTAGCAGGAATTGAGAATAGGATGATTATCAGAAGAAGACTGATATAAAGAGAAGAGGAAGAAAACGAAAAGCAATCAGAGTGACAAAAAGATAGGAAGAATCATGGAGTATGTAAAGTACAACTAATGGAAGTTATGGAAATGATACATTGGTTTACCGTACCCAAATCTTCCTTCACTACAGTCCTATCATTTACATGTTGATTAGCTTATCAGCTTCATTCATTTATTGAAATCCGATTTTCAGTTTATTTGGGGATTATTATAATTTTCGTAGTTGAAATCATGAGTCAGTTGAAGCTAGACCACCATCGAAAACCTGGAAGCACTGGACGGCCGTTTCGTCCTATCATAGGACTCCTCAGAAGTGCGCATCCACAATCCCGCACTCGCGAGATTCCAACCCAGGACCTATCAGTCTCGCGTGCGAGCACTTAACCGATAGACCACTGAACCGTCATTCAATGGTGTTTATGTTTACCTTCAACCAATCCAAGATTTTGAGCAACCGTTCACCAATTGGCTTCAGTGAGTTGATAGCTCTACGACAGACTTGGTTGAACTCCACTAGTCACTGCTTTCCACTAGAACTCAAAGAAATATCTCTTGAAGTTAGTCACTAGTTGAAGTTAGACATTAACACCGTTCGATGCTGGCTCTGTGGTCTGTCGATTAAGTGCTCTGGCGCGAGACTGATAGGTCCTGGGTTCGTATCTCCTGAGTGCGAGATCGTGGATGCGCACTTCTGAGGAGTCCCATAACAGGACAGGTTGGTCGTCCAGTGCTTTGAGGTTTTCCTTGGTGGTCTAGCTTCTGAGTGACTCATGATTTCAACTATATATAAAAAATTTACCATAATTATCAACGGAAATGTTTTCAATCTCCACTGAATTCTATGATTTCATCACTATATCACCATATGGATGTAGTGACTAAAATAACTTTAAACTGCCAATCAGAAAACCATAAGATTTAACTATTAGATCACATTGGATTGTATTAAAACAAAATCCTGTTCCACTTTTAAATAAATTCCTTTAAATGCTCATTTATTTTAAAACAAAATACATCCTTAAATACAAGGTGTCAATCAGTGAATAAATCTATTCTTCAACTGTTTAGTTGTAACCTATCTATTAAATGAATCTTGTGAAATTGGTGTTTTTTTTTAGTTGAAATACATTGTAGAATCATTTTATCTGATTTCAATGTTGGTTGGAAGTAACATGGATTATAAGTTGTTTTATCTGACCTTAAAAGTTGACATGGAAACTTTTTTTTCTTAACATGATGACCAATTAAATTAGAGGAAAGAACAAATAATAAATGAATCTAGCCGTTAATATCAATTCATAATTGACAGTTTAACCTCAAGTCAGTATGGTTCATTTAAGTAAAGATATATATGGATTAATGTTGATAATGATAGGTTAATATTGATTATCAGAAGGGGTTTTTGTGAAGATTGAGTATTTTTCATAGTTGAAAGTGTGAGTCAATTGAAGCTGGACCACCATGGAAAACCTGGAAACACTGGATGGCCGTTTTGTCCTATTACGGGAGTCCTCAGCAGTGCGCATCCACGAACACGCACTCGCAAGATTCGAAAGATATGAAAACTATGAAAAGTACTAAATCTCCACAGAACCCCTTCTGATAATTGATATAATCATATGCTCACTAGTGACTGACTTTGAGAAGTATATCCAGGAGTTCTAGTGAGAAGCAGTGACCAGTGGAGTTCAAAACAGGTCTGTTGTGAGATACGAACTCACTGAAGACAATTGGTGAACGGCTGCTCAAACTTCGTGGATTGGTTGAAGTTGGACATAAACACCATTGAATGCCGGCTTAGTGGTCTATTGGTTAAGTGCTCGCACGCGAGACTGGTAGGTCCTCGGTTCAAATCTCGCCCGCGAGGTGGGATCGTGGATGCGCACTGCTGAGGAGTCCCATAATATTGATTAGTTGAGAATGAAAGTTTGACATACTTTTGATTAGTTAGTTGGTGAAATGAATATGATTTACACATATTCGTGATTATAAGTTATGGGCACTATTGGCGGGAACATTGAGGAGCCGTTCAGTCATCCTGTGAAACTTCTAGTCGATACATATGGTATAAAAAGCTAATATTAGGGCGAAAACATACCCAATGTTTCCTGGTTTTCAACAACCATGAGGTTAGGGTTTAAACGTATCTGACACAATAGATATTGCCATCAGTGGATGTTAGTTAATCAGTTTCATGAACTGACTGAATTTGAAGATGTGAACCAATGCATAGCGAATAACAGATTTAAAGGTTAAGAGCTTGACAACAAGCTTAACCATTCTAGCTAAGATTTGCTGTTAGATTATAGGTACATAATTCTCAATAAATACCATAAATGGACAAAACAGCTGTTCACTGTTCCATGTTTTAATTGAATAGTTGTCTAGTTTGGGTAAATCCATTGTATAAGCTAAGAAAATGAAATCAATTTGACTATTATTAAATATCTTGGCAAAAGCAATGCTGTAATGAACTTTATCCTAGTGAGTTTCTATGTATTAACTGTCAATACTTTTCAAGGATTACTTCATTGTTCTGTTAAATGGTGGTTATTTGAGGAATCATAACCGCTTCGCTTATTCTTTTTCTAAATGGATATCTTTCTTGTATTCAGTTGTACAAATTGCTGAAGTTTTTGTCTTGACCAAAGGAACGTATCGATTAACAGTAGATAAACATTTCTGCAAGTAAGTATTTTTTCATATAAATATCGTTATGGATTTAATGATTTTCGGCATATCTTTGATAGTTTGATCAAATTGATTTTAGGTGTCATCGATTTTTCCTTTCCATAATGAGCTATTTTTTGGTTCAAATGAACAGGGAAGGTTGTCATATTGCAAATAATCAATAATTGAACTATACTACAGTACCTAATTAATCACGTTGGTGACTTGATAGTTCCTAGGATTCATACTTATAAACGAAGTAATTTAATTGGATCAGATCGTGTCTATTTTGTTATCAGGGAGTAGAAATATCATTGCATAAATCCAAAGATAGATTAGAGGCTTACTCATTTTAATTCAAACTCAGCTTCAGCGGTAATGAAGTAAAAATATTATGAGTTTTCTATATTTCTTCAGTGTGACCACTCAGGTAAATCATGTTATAAAGATGGATTAGATAAGAAATGCTATTGCAATTTGGGAATTTAGCAACGGATCTCGAAGTCGTCCCTGTGGATGTAAATCATTGTTCATAAATAACACTGATATTGTAGAAAAAACTATTTACGAACAGATAGTACCATTATACCAAAAATATCTTGATTTTAACGTTATTACAAAATAATTATATCAATATGAGGATTTGTGAAAATCGTTTATGATCGCGGATACGCAATGCTGATGAGTCCCATACTGAGACGAAACAGGCGTCCAGTGCTTTCGGATCTTAAATGATGATCCATTTTGGACCGACTCATGAATTCAACTACGGAAATCATTGTATATACACAAATAAGTTAAAAAGGCTTTACACTTTTCAGATTCATTACAAATCACTAAAATGACGGGTTGTTATGCTGTTCTATCTTTCAACGAATTTGACAACAAAGTTCTCATTAAAATAAGCCCTATGTTATACAGAGGTAACTGCCATCTCGCCGTAAAGTTCCGAACGGATGAATTTTTCCTAATTCCAGTCATTAATATAGTATTTTCGCAATTTTTTACTGAAAATGTTTAACAAAACAAATCAGCAGATGTGTACAATGATTTATTGATTGATTCTGAAACGAAGTTTCCTATACTTTTTAGTGTGAAATCATAAGATTTATCTACAACGGTTCACTAACTCACAGGACTACTCTAATGAATTACTAAATGACAATAAGACGACATCTAAGCAGCATTAAGTTCAATGAGTGTGGATATATAATTGTTTTCGAAAAATAAAGCATACCTGACTGTTAAAAGTGTTCGTATATATTAATTGTCGTTTGAAAATATTAACTTTGTGATGGAAGTATAAACGACAAACGATGCTAAAATACAGAACTTTTAATGCAGAATCATACATTAGTAATCAGACTACAACTTATGAGATTATATTCGAAAACAAGACTGTGTGATGCTACAGTTATTGGTCGGTAATAAAACCTAGTAAGCGCATTTTGTTTAGTTTGGGGCTTATCAGAGATATATTTCTACATATCATCTTTAAGGCTCCCATGGAGGTTCAAATCTGTTTTAAAACTCTAGGTCTTGACTTCTCAAACATCAAATTTAAAAGCAGCTTACTTCACTATTACTTGAATTAAAAGACAGAGGAGTCAGTTTGGTAGTTGAAGATTAAAGATCTACCTTTGACAGCACTCTTATGAAACTTAGTTAACATTGAATGTGGGATTTATAGACTCGAGACAGGTAAAATAGAATGAAGCAATTTGTGTGAATACATTACCAGAGTACAAATGGTAACAGTTTAGTCATTTGAAAAAATACTTATCGTTCAGTTAGTAATAGTTCACAGTATACTCTTCTGTCTAATCACTATTTAAAATCTAGCATTTAAGCTATGAATTGCAAACAAAGTTTTTAAATTCACATGGTTTTGTTTACTTGTATCTTCCCATTGTTATTTAGGACTGCAATCGATCAGTCTCTTGTTGGCATATGTACATCCTGTACGGACTACCTCGGTATTGCCTGAAATCACAAGCTTTATAAGCAAAGATGGATAGTGGCTAACAGTGGAATCCAGGAGGCGTGTTTCGTTCTATTTGAGACTCGTCAGCTGGATGTACCTGCACCTCAGAGTTGATGTTCACCCCACGACTTCAATCCAGTACCGTTCACTTCAAATGCCATCGCGTTATTCACTTAGCTACTGAGTCCTATCAGGACGGTACTGTGTTCGAGTCCCAGAGTGAACATCAACTGTGAGATGCAGGTACATCCAGCTGACGACTCCCAATTATGATGAAACGAGCGTCGTGGATTTCATTGTTAGCTACCATCCATCTCAGCTGATAATTAGCCATTAATAATAAATAAATGAAGTTATCAATAATACACTGCGTAGATTTTGACTTTTTTAAAAGAAAAAAACAGATAAATTTTGTAAGTCATTAATCAAGACAGCAGTATATATATGAACATAGTTTGGGCAGAAAGTTTACAAAAAAGTTTGGATTGAATAAAGATATATATGCAAATATTATAGCTCGGCAGTAATCGATCAATCTGCATTAGGATAGTACTGATAAATCTTCTTTGGTTATATTTTAGATTTTCATTTCTAATCTAGAATCACTTCAGAGATTTTCTAACTTATCATGATTAATTATTCAAGGAAAGTAAACTTTTAATACTGAAAAAGTTAAGGATGTTAGTGTTTGGTTAACGTCAATTCATCAAAAGTAATGAGAATGAACTTTAAGCATGCAACTACGTATCGTTTTATCTAGCTTTGAATCATTAACAACAGTTAGGGACGATGGAAAATATTTATAACTAATAATGAGAATGTTGTGGTCTCCCAGCTGGATGGTTTGATTGTGACGGTTTTATCATTCTTCTGAACAACATAATCGGCATATACCTCAAAGAGAAGTTAGACTATTCAACTCAGAGATCATGACACTCTTATAATAGTTACAATTATGTAATATCACACTTTGTACTTCAAAATAAGCACAAAATTCGATAAATTGTGGTGCATATAGACTGTTCAAATTATTTTCCATCAAAGGACTTCCTAGAAATGGTGAATTCATCAATCAATCGAAAAAAAATTTTTTCCTAATCAAAAAAACGTTACCTAAGTTGTAAATGTTATATCCGGACGATAATAAATGAATGGTGACCGTTAGACGTTACTTATGGACTAATATTATACGAATATTCTTATTGTATGACAGTTAACTGACCATAATATGTATGTATATTCATATTCCGTTCATTATAAGCTTCCATTTGACTTATTGACCATTATTATACGGTTTACTATTCTTGAGATATTCTCAATTTATTAGTAACAGGTTCTTACAATTACAGCCAATTTTGGCTTGATCTTGTACAAACGTTATTTTTTATTTTATGATGCGATATGGTCTGGTTTGTTTGTATATAAACCCAGTATGTCTGAGACATATTGTAGTGTCAGTCAGTCACAACGTAGAACTTCGTACGTACGTACATCAGTTCGAGTTGCCATACCACATTTAGCACAGAGATGCAGTTGTCGATTCAAATCCCATAGTGGTAGAAGTAGTAGGAGTATAATCAGAAATCCAAAAGATTAGGGTTTGAAGAAATTATTGAAGGAGTATAGTACAGTGAAATAAATTTGGAAAGAGAAAAAGATAAAGACATGAGGAATTCAGAAGATTAGAATTTGGTAGAACACAAAGAGTGGATGCATCTTCGCCATTGCAAACGATTTTGAGCCATGTCATTCAAGGTCTCTAACCATCGGTTGCTGTCATCTCGCGAATCCCAACCAGGTAGTCTACACCTACCAACATGGCCCAGTCCACTTGTCAGTGAATTCATTGATTTGTGCCACGTTTTGATCTGGCCACCCCTAGCTTTCTTCCAACCTACTCCTACACCATGAAACATTGCACGTCGGGGCAGTCGGTGGTCGGGCATACGTAACACATGTCCCAGCCATCTCAACTGATGAAGTTTCACTACTTCATCAATCGATTTGCAATCCCTACCTAGCACTCGTTTCCTAACAACTGCATTACTTACCCGGTGGTCCCAGGATATACGAGCAATGCTTCGAAGACACCTATGATCGAACACTAGTAGCCTATGAATATCCTCTACTTTTATTGGCCATGTTTCACTGCCATAAAGTAGGACGGAGCGAACTACTGTACAGTAAACCCGTCCTTTGGTTGCTAGACGGATATCTCGCCTACGCCATAAATGACGCAAGCTGGCGAAAGCTAGACGAGCCTTCTGTATCCGTGCTGAGATTTCGTCACATACCAGACCACAAGGGCTGATGAGACTCCCAAGATAAGTGAAGTGGTCTACACGCTCAACTACTTCACTCCCTATCATTAGTACAGGTGTCGATGCAACCCAATCCTGAAGTAACATTTTGCACTTCGAGGGAGAGAATCGCATCCCGAACATGCCTGCACAGTTGCTTATAGTGGTCAGAAGACTCTGCATGTTGTCAGCGTCTTCACCGAGTAAAACTATGTCGTCGGCGTATTCTAAGTCAACAAGTGAGCCTCCTGGTAAAAGTTAAACTCCTGGAGGTTTAGCTGATGAAAGTGCTATCTCTAAAAGTATGTCAATGACAAAGTTAAACAAGAATGGGGAGAGTGGACAGCCCTGACGAACGCCACTTGTGGTAATCAGTTCTGATGACAGTTCGCCATAGGCTCTAACTCGACCAGTTGTGTTCGACTAGAGAGCCTTTATGAGGTTAATGTACTTCTTTGGTACTCCTTTCAGTGACAAACACTGCCACAGAACCTCACGATCAACGGAGTCAAATGCCGCCTTAAGATCGAGAAATACTACTATTGTGGGACGTCTGAATTTGTGTCTATGTTCTAGAACCTGACGTAGGGTGAATATCTGGTCTATGCAACCACGTCCAGGTCGAAAACCAGCATGGTTTTCTCTAGTCTGCTCTTCACGAGCTTTGGTTAGGTGACCTAGTATTATTGAAGCTAATATTTTAGACACTATATTAGTCAAACTGATCCCTCTGTGATTGTCACAGGAGGACTTTTGTCCTTTCTTATAGACTGGCACAATCAGTGATTGGGACCAGTCAGATGGAATTACGTCCAGTTCCCAGATTCTACCTAAGACCTCAGTCAATCTCACTGCTAGTACTGGACCACCATCCTTAAAAATCTCAGGTGTCAACCTGTGAGGGCCTGCTGCTCTCCCTCGCTTCAGATTTCCTATAGTTTTTTCAACCTCACAGAGGGTTGGAGGACTTACATCAATTTGCCATTCAGGACGACTGGGGATCGTGGGTAATTGAAGTGTGGCAGAAGGCCAGTTGAACTGATCCCTAAAGTGTTCTGCCCATCGATCCAACCTCCTGGATTGAGAATGAATAATATGCCCATCTGAGATGGTTTCACTGATATTCGGGCTCCTAATACCGGTTTCTTTAACGAGTCTGAATAGCTGCCTACTGTTACCTATTGCCGCTGCCTTTTCCATCTCTCTTGCTTTCGCTACCCACCACTGTTCACGATCATTATGTAGGCTTCTTATAAGCCTGCGCTTCGTTATGCTCAGAGCCAGGTGGGATGAGTTTACGAGCATCTATCAGTGCGGTAGATGCTGCCGAGATCCATTGTTTCTCCCTAACGTTATGGTTTACCTTATTAGCGGATATCACTGCTGTTTCCACAGCTTTTCGGATGTCATTCCACGCTGCCTCGGGGTGGACACAACTTACATGGCTGCCTAACTGTTTTTCTAGTTGTTCCCGAAATATATTCTTAGCTTGCCTATCATTAAGTAGAACCCTTAGAGGCTTCCCTGCAGTGTCTTTCCTACGACCAGTAAGACGCAGACAGATACGTGCTCGCACTAGAGCATGATCTGAATCTAAACATGTGCCCCAGAATGAGCGACAGTCTTCTATCGAGCCCCTCCATCGGTGGCTGATAGCGATGTGATCTAATTGGGTCCAACGTTGGGACGAATTCGGGGGTCGCCATGTCAAAAGATGTTTTTCCTTATGCTTAAAGTTAGTATTTGTAAGAAATAGTCGGTTATCTGAGCATAGCTGCAACAGACGGTCGCCATTATCTGTTCTTTTCGCCATGACACCATAAGATCCACCCAGGTGTCTTTCCCTTTCACTTAGTTTACCTACTTGAGCATTAAAGTCACCTGCTACTATTACTACATCAGAAAGCCTAGCTTTTCGGAGAAGGTCAGAAAGTTTCCTGTAGAACTCATCTTTTATATCGTCTGAGCTGCAGTCAGTGGGAGAGTAGGCAGAGACGACGAAGAGGCAACGACGAGTTTCCCTATCTGTCCGGGTCCTTACTGATCCGTTTAGTCGGACAGCGCATAGACGACTGTCTACTGGGATCCAGTCTAAAAGAGCTAGTTCTGCCCTAGGACTTAATGCTATACCTACTCCAGTGAGGCCACGGGAAGCAGCGTCAGGGCTTCCAGATACACGAAGCGTGTATAGAGATGAAACTTTATTTTGATTAGGTGCGGTCAAATGAATGACACTACTCGGATCTTGTATGCGCGTTTCGGAGACGCAGCACACATCGATGGTGTAAGATTCTAGAGTCCTAGCTAAGGAAGCCTGTTGTCCTATTTGGCACAATGTTCGGACATTAAAAGTTCCTATATGTAGTTTAGAGCGTGGTTTCAGGAGACCAGGAATAACGTTCTGTGTACTCGAATCGTTTGCCCTAGCGGTGCGAGGTGATAAAAAGACGTGGGAAGGGTTAGTCGTGGAGATAACAGAGTTATTAGGTGTAGGAAGGATTTGAAAGCGACCAACTTGATCTTGTGTGCAGTTAAGGGTATGAGGGCTAGTATCACTTCCCGGCTGCCCACACCGTGGAAGGGTATTTCTTAAGGGACCTGAAAAAGAAGTTGGATTAGTGTTGGTCTTAACGACCTGGGAGCGTGACCGCAGTGCCCAAGGGACATCTGCTTGAGGCCGGTCACGCACGGCCTTTTTGTGGGGGATTTTTGATGTGTTAGCTCCGTTCTTCAAAAGTCCTTACCGCCGGAGACGGAAATCCGTGGGATAAGGCGAGGTGTGCATTTTTAGGGTCGACATTTTCTAACCCCACCCCTCCTTGTGGGAAGGCAGCATCGCTGTCATGCTGGTTGTCTGAAGGAAACACCTTACTGCTTTCACACCTCTGTACAGTCAGCAGTACGACTTCGCCTTCGGACCTTGGGATTGCTGCTTTTAGTCTCACCGCTCTTCAACCGACCTGTCTGGCATGGTAGGACCTTGAGGAACGATTGTTCCAGCCAGCATAGCTCGATTGGATCATCACGATAGGCAAGCCCGACCACCACGTCAAGGTAGCAGCAACGGTCGGGTGTGTGGTAGTGTGGTCTACTTATATCCATATAAGTAGTATATGGTGATGGTTAGACATGGAATGTATTTTGGCAGAAGACAGATAATGAATGAACTGAAATGAAGCGCAATTAGTAGGAAAATGCATGAACAATGGAATTAGAGAAGATTGATTGATATTTACAGATGGAACAGTGAAGATTGAAACAATTGGTTGTTAGTTTGCAAATTAACTGTTCATTGTATGGTTAACAGAATTTAGTGAGATAGTCTGTAATTTGTTCTTAAATACATTTGCTTGTCCCCAACCGATGTTCTGTTCACAGGAATATGATTCGTATCGTGAAGGTTAAGATTGGTGTTCTGGACTTATCAGGCAGGGCTAGACTGAAAGAATATCATTAAGAACTCTGGGCTGCTCGTATCGTATCATTGATTGGGTCGTATAAGTCAGCGTGTTTAAGTTGGCAGTCGTATTTTATAATATCATATAACTAAGAATATAACAGTAAATCTAAAATGATAACAAAACATTCAAAGTGTCAGAAACACAAACACTGTCTAGCAAAAAACCTTTTTGAGTAAAATCAGTTCTAATACATATTCCCAAATACATGATACCTTATCAGCATATTTCCCATTCATTTATATATCTATGATATTTATCTTTTCTATACAGAGTAAATCTTCCTCAAGCTGGTGAAGAACAATGGAAATATACAACAATATTAAATACTAATTTAACAGATAACATATTAAAACATGGTGTTGCATTAGATGGTTATATAAGACAAGAGAAAAATTGGTTAGCTTCATCAACAGTATTAAATTTATCTGAAAATTTTAAAGAATGTTTAGAAATGATGCAAAATATTAATAAAAATGTAAATAAGTAAGTAAGAATTATTAACGGTAAGGGGGTTTTGTGAAAATTTTAGTAATTTCATATGGTTGAAATCATGAGTTAATTGAAGCTAGACCAATATGGAAAACCAGGAAGCACTCAACGGCCTTTTCGTTCTATTGTGGGACTCCTCAGTGTCAGTGCGCATCCACGATCCCGCCCGTGAGATTTCAACACAGGACTGAATTATTTGTTTAGAACTACATTAAACAAATGTGTATAAGTATTTGTCAAGATTCGAATAAAACAGTTCGTCAGAAATTAAGCTGAGAGTATGTATAAAAGTCATCATTTGTAAAAGTTTTTTTGAATGATCTTAACAATTCGAATATATTGACCTTGAAGAAGTTTAAATCAGCTATTTAGATGAGAAGTTGCGGCGAGACTATAATTTATGGACGAGCCATGCAGGAGCGGCTGAGGGATTTCGAGATCACAGAGCCAATTTCTGTACCTGATGCTCATGTACGATCGATTCACAAAGGATTTTAGAGAAAACGTGACAATTAAGCGGTTACAATAAATGAGACTACTAAAAAGTTCTTTTATTTGTAATTGCGGTAATCCATTGACTTGTAGACCTTGAACAGACTACCGTGATAATGGTACCTTTCTATGTAATATATGTTAGTGGAAGAAGTCTGCTAGAATAGGAACTTTTTTCCCTCGACCCAGATTGAGACTAAGGCAAATTATAATAACTGCTGCCAACTGTATAATAAAAGCACCAGTAACATTGGTTGCAATAATCGCAGTTGTTACTGAAGCTTCGAGTGTTCAGTGGTATGGGTATTTTAGGGATATATGCGTAATAAAAATGACAAACTTACACAACCGTAGTACACACAAACAATAATGAAGCTATGTAGTCGACGCTGAGAGGGTTTTTATTACCTTATCATGACTCCAGAGACCAAGTATTATGGAGCCATATGGATGAGTTCCTCTACCATATGCATTATCATTTTAGTACCTTTTAATCTCTTTCTAACCTTGACAAGTTTTGGGATCATGTAAAAGAAGTGTATTCATCTTAATTCTTTGGTGTTGTATAATATATTTTTTCCCATACTAACTGTTTCCTGATTGGTTAACATTTCTGAAGGTCACTTAAGTTTCCTTCAAAGGTCGTTCATAAATTATAGTCTCGCTGAAGTTGCAATTATTTAAATTCTAATTACAGAATATTCAAATCTGACTTTTACATTTGATATATTAAAAAAATGTTTATTGTAAAATAAAGATGGTTCAGATAAACACATTATGATTCCTACATTGTCATTTACTAAAGTTGTAGGTTAATTCTACATTTATTACCTTATAATATAAAAGAAAAGTGTTGCTTCATTTGACAAGTTAGTCAAATATTATCAAAACTTTTTTTAGATCTGAAATATTAGGTATGTAAGAATCTTAGAGATTATCAGTAATGATAGTTAATATAAAAAATGTAGAGAATAATCCTATATATCGTAAGTATAGATCAGGCAAAACATTATGTTAAGCTATTGCCGCAGGACCTACAGGTCCTAGGTTAGACTCCTCTGTGGTGAAGTCATGGATACATACCATTAGGAAGCCCTATGTTAGAACGAATCTCTATATTAAAGATTATAATTGCTACTAACAGACTGTAAAAGTAAAAGGGGGTAATAAGATAATGGTGAAATAACAGCCTTCAACAAAGCTTGTTTGCACACAGAGATCAGATTTGAATTGGTCAATTGCTATATATTCAAATGTGTTTATATTACATGGTATCACAACAACGTTTAATGTTCCATTCATTTAGATGTATAAATAACAAAATCGATCAAAATGATCGAGTCTTACATTTTTTTTAGTGGTTGTCACAATTTAATATTCACAATGTTTTCTTTGAAAGGCATGTGTAATACAGTATTAAAAGTAAATTAAACGATAAAAAACTGTTCGCAAACATAGATGTCTAATAATATAATAAGTTAACTAAGTACACCCTTTAAAAATTTTAAACGGTTTTTTTGATGTTTAAGTTATTCAGATTTGATAATGTAATTAATCTCCAAATAAATATTGTTTTTGAGTGCTTTGGATTAGTCAGAATCTCACCAAAATGCAAACAATTCGTTACTAACTATATGAACTTACAACTGAAAGGTATACGAAAGATGTTTCCTATGGAGATTACTTAGTTTAATGATAATTATCATCAATCTTCTAGGTAATCTAAAAACAATCATTCAAAATCAAAGAGTACTGGAGTCCATAAAGGTTAAAAGTGATGTGTTGTCTCCAATATCAGTATATGATAGTGATAAGTATGTTTCATTAACAAGGTTTAAAAATCTTGGTTGATGACCTATGCTACATGAATGGCAACAGATGTAAGTAAGTAAGCAAGCAAGAACTATTGACCAGTAGATGTGAAGCAGTAGCTATGAAGTCTTAAGGTTCTGTGTTCGAATCATAATAAGCTGAGTGGATATTTCTAAGGAGTTTCACACTGGAACGAAACAGTTGTTCAGTGCCATATACATTTTAATTTTTGTCTAGTTCAGTTTATTTTGTGATATAAGATATAAATTTCAATGAAATTATGTTGTTGATTATTGACTGAATGTGAATATTACCGTTTACTATTTATGATATAATTTAGACAAATAAACAATAAAGTAGACAACTGGGCGAGACTATAATTTATGGACTAATCAATCACGTATAAGATAACAGATCTCGGATTTTGGCACGAAATTCACTTAAACATTTATAAATAAAGTTCTGGCATTATTCATGATAAGAACAATAAATCTAATTCCTAACCTTAATCACAAACTGTAAATTATAACTCTAATTTTTCACACAGGTTTATGATTCTCATTTGATTCTAGTTATTTGGTAGACATTTCCAAAGTCAGTTTAGCGTCACTCAAAGGCCATCTATAAATTCTAGTCTCACAGACAACCTTTACAATACAAATTTTACTTTGTATATTTGAAAATATTTATTTCAAATGATCTCATGATTATAGAAAATTTCACATTATTTTTATTTGAAAACTATCCTAGTATGTGGCTCCTCAGTAGTGCGTATCCACGACCCCTCCTCGCGAGATTTGAACCCAGGACCTACCAGTCTCGCGCGTGCGAGCCTAACCTCTAGAACACTGAGCCGGCACCCAACGGTGTTAATGTGTAAATTCAACCAATCCACGAAATCGAGTAACCATACGTCACTGTCTTCAATGAGTTACTATCTCACAACAGACCCGGTTTACCTCCACTGGTCACTGCTACTCACTAGAACTCCAGAAAACACCTCTTGAAGTCAGTCACTAATGAGCATATAATTATTACCAGAAGTCAGATATTAACACCGTTGGATGCCTGCTCAATGGTCTAATGGTTAAGCGCTCGCGTGCGAAACTGATAGGTCCTGTGTTCAAATCCCGCAAGCGCAGTCGTGGGTGCGCACTGCTGAGAAGTCCCAAAATAGGACGAAATGGCCGTCCAGTGTTTACAAATTTTTCATGGTGATCTAGCTTCGATTGACTCATGATTTCAATTATAAAAACTGAAGTTGTTCTTCTTTATAGTTTCATAAGACAGTCTTTTACTCATTATTCATTCAAAGATTCTTTTTATTAAACTACTAATCATATTTGATTGCTTCTAGGCTCAGTGGATTGAATAAAGCATGAATTATATTGAGTATTTAAATAACTCAGTCATATGTATATATATATATATATATCTGATGGTATAAATATAACGTTCAAACTATCCAGTTTGATAAAATGTATATATATTTCAGATACTTGTATACGAATGAAGAATATATTTTTCAACAAGTTCTCTTCGGATTTTACGATTATACATTGTTTGAAATACAATTACAGATCAGATCAGATCAAATATTTTATTTAAGGATTACATCATATATTTCCTTGATAAAGTTTGAACCAGATTGCCAGACGAAAAGTTGGATTTACTTCAAATTCATTCGCTTAGATTTTACAAATATATTCTTCTTCCTATTTAATATTTTACATCGCTCAGCGCCCATATACTGTGAAACTATTCGGTCTAATTTAAACGAGAGTTCTTTTATATTGAAATAATATAATTTTGATAATAAAGAATAAAATGGAATAAATACTAACTAAATTAGATCATAGTTGAAAGCATGAGTCAACTTCGTGGATTGGTTGAAGTTAGACATTAACACCATTGGATGCCGGCTCAGTGGTCTATTGGTTAAGTGCTCTGGTGAGACACTGGTAGGTCCTGGGTTCGAATCTCGCTCGCGAGGCGAGATCGTGGATGCGCACTGCTGAGAAGTCTCACAACAGGACGAAACGGCCGTTCATTGCTTCCAGGTTTTCCTCGATGGTCTAGCTTCAATTGACTCATGATTTCAATTATGAAAATACTAAAATCTCCACAAAACCGCTTCTAAATTGAATCAACTAAAACAAACTCTCTTATTTTGCAACTACGCTTATATTATTAAATTACAAAATAGAAAATTGTTTGAAATTAATTTAATGATGAAATAATTCATTATAAGTAGTTATTCATATTGAAGAAAACTTTTTATACTGAAATTAATATATCGATGGTCAAGTAATTGAGTCCAGTGCTTCTAGGTTTTCCACGGTGATTTGGCTTCAATTGACTAATGATTTCAACTATATATAATCAATTTATTATTAGTAACATGATAACTATCAGCTTGCTTCAATTGTATTATTACTTCAGAATATGATTAGTTATACAAAGTTGCGAGCAACACTAATTCCATTTTAACCTTCCAGTTATTGGTTGGTTGGTTGATTCAAGTTAAAATGGAAGTAAGCATATCTATATCCGTATACTGACAGGAATTTATCTATTCACATTGATAGTTATAAGATGACGAATACCATACACATAAATTACTAACATCTCATTTGATAATTTTTCTCATGCTTCAATATTCTGTTCGTTTTGTTTTAGCTCTACAGATTTGGTGATAAAAGCTAATAAAGAACTACATGGAATTGTAATTTCATATTGTGTTCGTGTTAGATGCTGGATTGGAATCAGGTAATTCATACAGTGATGTTAATGATTCTATCATTCTTCAAGTTAATCGTTTGTAATATGTTTGAGAAATTATGGAATAACATAGGACCGGTAAATAGAATGAGATTCAGCAACACAACAACAGGACAAGCTAAGCTATCACACCAAACTCCAGCCCTGTTAATTAGCAGGAAAAGACAAGATTCAGTCGGGGAAATATATACATTCCACAAGCCGCCTAGAAGGATGAAAGACAGTACACAACTCATGCTTACATATATAATACAAAGTATCTTTGAAAAACGTCAAAAAATAGCCTATTGAAAAGGCGAAAGATTCAATGATATTTAAGGTACTTCCAAGTGGCAAGCACAATTTGTAAGTTGAAAAATGGGTGCTTTTGACATGAACATGAGAAATTCAAATTTCAACAGTAAGATTACAAACATGGAGAGTTTGCTAAATGATTTCTGAGGATCCAGCATCTCCAACAACATGATACATCATAACGTATTAGAGAAAATGGATTAAACAACCTACTATCAAATTATGATCAATTAGTAATAAAAATACAAGAAAATTTTTTATTAACTAACAAAACTCAGAGACGAAAAATATGGATCATATGCTCACTAGTGATTAGGTTCAAGATGGATATCCCGGAGTTGAAGTGAGAAGCCGTAACCAATGAAGCACAATCCTTGTAGGGTGAAAACAGTTATCCACCTCAAATAATGAATAAAGAGTTGTACAAGATCATGAATCGATTAAAGTTAGCACATTGACACCTTTGAGTGCCGGCTCAGTTGTCTAGAGATTAAGCATTCGAGCGCGAGAACTAAGGTCCTGAGTTACAGTCCCACGTTCTGATTCGTGAATGTATACTATTAGGGAGGATAGAATGGCCAATCAGTGCTTCCAGGTTTTAAATGGTGGTCCAACTTAGATCGATTTGTGAATTCCATTGTGAAAATATAATTCATCATTGTCTATTGAAGATAAGATCATTCTTCGAGTTTACATAAAAATGGAAGGAATTGTTTTCTTTCTGGGTTTCATTATTATGAGGTAACCATTATGAATTATTTCATAGTTATGTTTAATATTTTCATTCCACACTTTTTTAGGATTAAAAACACTTTGAAATTGATTATGGGATAAAAGCAAATTATTGGGAATATTTTTCTTTTAAAAATTTATCCCAATCGTTTATATTTATTAAATTGATTAACATAAAGAAGAATCATTTACTGATGAAGATAATATTTATTGAGAGAGTAAAATGTATTAGATAAGAGATGGTGGATAAGATCAGGTAGATGATTTTGGTGGAATTTCATTCTTTGAGCTAGATGATTTGGTCATGGTGCTTTCATCATTTTTATGAACGATATCATCAACACAAACTTCAGGTAGTAGTGAAGTGTTAGAATGTCTCTATCCATGGCTTGTAGCTTGTCCTGTAGACCTCGTTCGCGAGCGAGACTGTTAGGTCCTGTGTTTGAATCTTGCGAGGCAAGATCGTGAATGTGGACTGCTTAGAAGTCCCACAATAAGACGAAACGGCCGTTCAATGCTTCCAGTTTTTCCATGGTGGTCTAGCTTCAATTGACTCATAAACTCAACTATTAAATTACTATAATATCCACAAAACAACAAATTTGCTCTTAACTATCTTACATTACCTCAATGCTCTACTACTGTGAAAGTATTCGTTCAAATTTGGACAAACATTCTTACAAACATTTCTGTATATTATTACCCATCATATACTCACTAGTGACTGGCTTCAAGAGGTATTTCCTGGAGTTCTAGTGAGAAACAGTGATCGGTGGAGTTCAACCGGGTCTGTTGTGAGATAGTAACTCATTGAAGACAATGACGTATGGTTACTCGATTTCGTGGATTGGCTGAAATTAGACATTAACACCATTAGATGCCGGCTCAGTAGTCTATAGGTTAAGCGCTCACGCGCGAGACTGATAGGTCATGTGTCCGAATCCCTTGAGTGCAGCCGTGGATGCGCACTGCTGAGAAGTCCCACAATAGGACGAAACGGTCGTCCATCGCTTCCAGGTGTTCCATGACTGTCTGGCTTCAATTGACTCATGAACTCAACTATTAAATTACTATAATATCCACAAAACAACAAATTTGCTCTTAACTATCTTACATTACCTCAATGCTCTACTACTGTGAAAGTATTCGTTCAAATTTGGACAAACATTCTTACAAACATTTCTGTATATTATTACCCATCATATACTCACTAGTGACTGGCTTCAAGAGGTATTTCCTGGAGTTCTAGTGAGAAACAGTGATCGGTGGAGTTCAACCGGGTCTGTTGTGAGATAGTAACTCATTGAAGACAATGACGTATGGTTACTCGATTTCGTGGATTGGCTGAAATTAGACATTAACACCATTAGATGCCGGCTCAGTAGTCTATAGGTTAAGCGCTCACGCGCGAGACTGATAGGTCATGTGTCCGAATCCCTTGAGTGCAGCCGTGGATGCGCACTGCTGAGAAGTCCCACAATAGGACGAAACGGTCGTCCATCGCTTCCAGGTGTTCCATGACTGTCTGGCTTCAATTGACTCATGAACTCAACTATTAAATTACTATAATATCCACAAAACCCCTTTTCGTATTTTTTAAATATTTTTCATATCGTTTTTTGTAATTATGATCTTGAATGATCATAATTTAAATTACTCAAATGAATTCATGCTATTCGGTTCAATTTATAGTTTTTTTTGCATCGTATCTTTTTGTTTTACTTCACTAGTCGATGTTCATTGTACATTCCATTTTTGTTGATGCAACCAGAGAAAGAATCTGAAGCAGGAGAAGTAGATAATCATGTAAATTGTACAAATAATCATACTCTACATGTGGATATCGTTCAAATTCATGTAAATCTAATAAGTGTATTCATTTTTTTTCTTATAAACTGTAGTACATTATTCAATCAGCTTAGATTGGAAATAGGAACTATTGAATTTGCAGTAAAATTCAAATGAAATTCGATTAGGATTGGTTGATTAAGAAATTAAGTTGAAGAGAATTCCTCTATAGACTTTTAGAAATATTCTAGAATATTGTGGAATAAGGAATAGAAAATAACTTGATTTGTGTTATATCGATTGATTGCGTTACTTACTTACTTACTTACGCCTGTTACCCCTCGTCGAGGAGCTTAGGCCGCACATCAGTATTCTCCATCCAACTCTGTCCTGAGCCTTCCTTTCCAGTACTTTCCAGTTTTTATTCATCCTTTTCATATCTGCTTCTATTTCCCGACGTAATGTGTTCTTTGGCCACCATTTGGAGAGCAGTGTTTTATCGATCAGAGCTATGATACACGAAAACCATATGAGCATTCTTGAGTACATATCAGTCCTGCTTTTTGTCCAGCCCAGCCAGTTAAGTTCACAACACCAATAACAGCCTCTACAATATGAATCAATATTCTCAAACATACTGGATTTATATGCCAATTAAAATGACCACATCGTACCATAAAATAGAAAATAACATTTGTACAAGATTTAGCCAAATGTGGCTGTGAATAGGGGGGAACAATAATTAATAGACTGGGTATAACTCAAGAATGATAATTCGTACAATAATAGTCTATAAGTCAAAATAAAGTTCATAATAAAAGGAACATGAATATGACTAGTTAAGTTACTTAACAATTGTACAATATGAAATATACAATATCATATTGGTCCATAAATAGTCCTCAGAGTTACCATTCCTAATTCTCCACGGGATATAACAAGTTGAAATGCAAAGTTACACGAATAATAACGCGAATTTTCTTGGAGATCATGAACTAATTCAAGTCGAGTAAGTATTGAAAATCTGGAAGTCCTGGACATCCGCTTCATCTTAATATGACATTCTTCATACTAGGTCATACTAGGAGTTGAGTAAATTTAGCGGCGAGACTATAATTTATGGACGACCTTTGAACGAATCTTAAGTGACCTTCAGAAATGTTAGTCAATCAGGAAACAGTCAGCATAGAGTAAAAACATATTATACAAAACCAAATTATCAAAGTGGATACACTTCTTTTATATGGTCCAAAAACTTTACAAGGTTAGAAAGAGGTGTAAAGGTTCCAAAATCGCAATGCATAAGGTAGAGGAACTCATCCATATGGCTCCATAATCCTCGGTCTTTGAAGCCATGATAAGGTCGCAAAAACTCTCTCAGCCTCGACCACACAGCTTCATTATTGTTTGTGTGTACTACGGTTGTGTAAGTTTATCATTTTTATTATGGATGTGTCTCTAACACACTTACACTACTGAACAGCCGAAGCTTCAGTAACATCTACGATTATTGCAGTCAATGTTACTGGTGCTTTATTATACCGTTGGCAGCAATTATTATGATATGCCTTAGTCTCAATCCGGATCGACAGAAAACAGTTCCTATTCTAGCAGACTTCTTCCACTAACATATATTACATAGAAAGATACCATCATCATGGTAGTCTGCACAAGATCTACAAGTCATTTGATTATCGTGATTACAAATAAAAGAACTTTTTAGTAGTCTCATTTATTGTAGCCGCTTAATTGTCACGTTTTCTCTAAAATCCTCTGTGAACCGATCGTACATGAGCATCAGGTACTGAAATTGGCTCCGTGACGTTGAAATCCCTGAAACGCTTCTGATTGGTTCGTCCATAAATTATAGTCTCGCCAATTTAGCTAAATATCACAATTTAATTAAACTGTCAATTTATGTTTATTGTTTATAATAAATACAGTTATTGGATTTAAGTCAAGAATTTCCAATAATTATTCTGATTTGTCGGTGACATTTTAATTTATGGATGACGTTTGAGTGACGCTAAACTGACTTTGGGAGAGTCCACCTAGTATCTAAGATTAAATGATAGTCATAAACCTGTGTAAGGAATTAGAATTATGATGTACAGTTGTTGATTAAGGTAAGAAATTATATTTAGGATTTTCATCATGAACTGACATCAGCTATAATGCCAAAACTCTATTTAGATAAATGTTTGAGTGAATTTCGTGCCAAAATCTGAGACCTTTTAACTTATACGTGATTGACTCGTCCATAAATTATAGTTTTGTCAAATGATATTAAATCATTAACTGTTATATAACAATTAATTAAAGCTGATTACCATCAGCTCAGTAACAATTAGTTAGCTAACGGTTATATTTCTAAAAAACAAGTAATCTGACTTATCAAAAAAATAACACTTATGGTATTACATTTGTGTATGAGTTGAGTAGACCATTAAAAACTGTTAATGAAAAAAGAAAATTATAATTTCATCGTATTATAATCATTTTTTTCAGAAGGGTTTTGTGTGGAGATTTCAGTATTTTCATAGTTGAAAGCATGATTCAATTGAAGCTAAACCACCAAGGAAAACCTGGAAGCACTGGAAGGGATGGCCGTTTCGTCCTACTGCCTACGGCCGTCGTACGACCGTCCAGTGCTTCCAGGTTTTCGATGGTGGTCTTGCTTCAATTGACTTATGCTTTCAATCATTTTTTTTGTCATCCACTATAATGTTAACCACAGCAAGATTTGTATTTACAAGTTATAGATCATCTAAACTGATCTCGGCTTAAATTATTATCATCAATCATGAGTCAGTAGTGATCAAACTTTTCATACTGTCCGTTCAATTATCAAATATGATAGAAAGTTTATTCATATAGTTCAAATTAGACATAATAAATTCTCTGGTTATTTAAGTGATAAGTACTTTTGTAGAACAAATAGGGGCTAGTTTAAAGAACCCTATATTTATAGATAGTCTGGATATGGATAGTGCGATAGATCATGACATAGTCTTTGGAGTAGTAACTAAGCCCCAAGAAAAATAGATAATAAGCAACAACTTATTTTTTATTTCAAATCTAACTTATCTAAAAAGAGATTTCAGTTCACATCTTAACACTGACATGTTGATCGATCTATTTATATTTCTTCTTTCCCTCTCCCTCCCTCCCTCACTCTTTTGTTCAGGTAAGTTTTTGGTTGTTTGTTTTTCTTTTCTTTATTTATTTAATCTATAACTCATAATGGAAAAATGTTTCCTGGTGAGAATTACTTCATATAAGAACTTAGAGCGTGATTTTATCTAATTTATACAATCCATTTTTATAAAATTAATTTTTTTTTATCTCCCAGTGATTATTTATTTTTCTCATAGAAACAAAATATTTAAATTATATTAAAAAGATAATTTTGAATTGTTCATTGCTTTTTTTGGTAAACACTAAAACTATTTCATAGTTGTGAATATATTTCCATTTTGTATAAGATGAACAAATTATATAATCAGAAAGGGAGTCTAGCTTTAATTAACTCATGATTTCAATTATGAAAAATACTGGAAATCTCCACAAAACCCCCCTTCTGATCTATAATCATATGCTCACTAGTGACTAACTTCAAGATATATGTCCTGGAGTTCTAGTGAGAAGCAGTGACCAGTGGAGTTTGACCAGGTCAGTTGTGAGATAACAACTCACTGAAGACAATTGGTGGATGGTTGCTCAAACTTCGTGGATTGGTTGAAGTTAGACATTAACACCGTTGGATGCCGGCCAGCTCAGTGGTCTAGTGGTTAAGCGCTCGCGCGAGACTGATGAGTCTTGGGTCCGAACCTCGCGGGACGAGGTCGTGGATGCCCCCTGATGAGGAGTTCCACAATAGGACGAAACTGCCGCCCAGTGTTTCCACGTTTTTTATGGTGGTCTGGCTTCAATGGACTCATGATTTCAACTATGAAAAGTTATATAACCATTTATTTTCTCAAAAAGGGATTTTGTGAAGATTTTAGTAATTTTATATAATTGAAATCATGAGTCCATTGAAGCTAGATCACCATGGAAAACCTGGAAGCAATGGACGACAGTTTCGCCCTATTGTGGGACTCCTCGGTAGTGTGCATCCACGATCTCACCTCGCGAGATTCGAATAAAATATATAATCTAAAAGGTTATATTCATTCAAGTATTCTATGATGATTGAGTTAATTAGCCGAATTTTTTTTAACTATTGAATATTCTCTGAGAACTAAGAATTCATGAGTTGATTTAAGCCAGATCACAGTTAAAAACCTGGAAGTACTAAATGACTTTTTCATCCTAGTATGAAACTTCTAAACAATGCACATTCACAGTTCCACATGCGAGACTCGAACTTAGGACCTTTGATTTGGCACGCGAACGCTTAACCATCTAGACCTCTTATTATACAACTCAATATACATTTCTAATACCTATTAGGAACTATCTGAGTACAGTATCATTGAATTAACTCTTCAAATAAGTATGAACTATTAATTTGAAATATTTCACTGATATTGTATCCACCCCATGACAAGAATATCTTGGATTGTATATTTTGTGTAATTATAAATATTTTTGGTGAAGTAACTCTTAGGTGCTTGGTAACATCTATTCATGGATCTCATTTTTTATCGGTTACGTAGATCATTTCGGTTTGTTATAGAAAATAATTATTGCCATAATTACCATTTATCAAACACTAGATTCTGGTACATTTTGAAGTTGAAACATTCGTAGGTTTGAAATGACGAGATTATAATTTATGAACGAACCAATCAGAAGCGTTTCAGGGATTTCAACGTCACGGAGCCAATTTCAGTACCTGATGCTCATGTACGATCGGTTCACAGAGGATTTTAGAGAAAACGTGACAATTAAGCGGCTACAATAAATGAGACTACTAAAAAGTTCTTTTATTTGTAATCACGATAATCAAATGACTTGTAGATCTTGTGCAGACTACCATGATGATGGTATCTTTCTATGTAATATATGTTAGTGGAAGAAGTCTGCTAGAATAGGAACTGTTTTCTGTCGATCCGGATTGAGACTAAGGCATATCATAATAATTGCTGCCAACGGTATAATAAAGCACCAGTAACATTGACTGCAATAATCGTAGATGTTACTGAAGCTTCGGCTGTTCAGTAGTGTAAGTATGTTAGAGACACATCCATAATAAAAATGATAAACTTACACAACCGTAGTACACACAAACAATAATGAAGCTGTGTGGTCGAGGCTGAGAGAGTTTTTGCGACCTTATCATGGCTTCAAAGACCGAGGATTATGGAGCCATATGGATGAGTTCCTCTACCTTATGCATTGCGATTTTGGAACCTTTACACCTCTTTCTAACCTTGTAAAGTTTTTGGACCATATAAAAGAAGTGTATCCACTTTGATAATTTGGTTTTGTATAATATGTTTTTACTCTATGCTGACTGTTTCCTGATTGACTAACATTTCTGAAGGTCACTTAAGATTCGTTCAAAGGTCGTCCATAAATTATAGTCTCGCTTTTACTTTCATGATCAGAAGTCATACAAATATTTAGGAATTCTACCGAATACTTCAGTCAACGAGAGGAAGAATATTAGATATTCTTATGTTTAAATTAGCTACTGTATCAAATAGATTAATTTATTACACTGATGATAAGCTGTTATAAACTGTAGGATACTTTTTATAACGCTAAGGTTTCTTGTTATAACAGTCCTTTCACTTTTTACACATATGTGGGACATTAATTTACCTTAGACGAATATCTACACTAGATTCCCTCTCAGTATCTATTCTACAGGACTTCAACACAACTCAGATCAACAACACTAGATTAGCCTGACTAGAAGGGTAATATATTTCCACACCCAAATCCGACACAAATCAACAACAAGGAACAGTTATTCAATAATAATCAGGATAGGGGAATATATATAGCACATATAACACCTGTCACACTGCCCACATGTTTGACTCAGGAAAACAAACAATCATTATCATTCTCGACCACAACATCAAAAGCTTTCTCAATAAATTATTCACAAAGTTTACCTATTATACCTATCTTTAGGAACAAATAATAGTTCTCATCTGAGTGAAATGCAGTATACAATGTACAACAAAACCATGTACTTTAGTTTTTTCTTATGTTTTAAGCTATTGACTAACAATAATGTATCATCTCTGTACAAGTATTCAGTCAGTCATGTAACAACTATTACTTCAAATTACGAAGCATCAGTTAAGTATTCAAATGATTTTAACCTCTATGGGATTCTAACAAATCAAACTTTATTAACATTTGAATTCATAAATCAATGTAAGTTAGACCGTTATCAAAAACCTGGAAACATTGAATGACTATTTTGTACGGAACTGTACAACAGTGTCCATCTACGATCTCACACATGAGACTCGAATCTAGAACCTTGAGTCTCACGCCTGTACGTTTACCCCACGAAACCACTGAACCAGTTGTCTAGCTCAAATCAGCTTATGAATTCAATTGTTCAAACTACTACAATCTTCACAAATTCTCATTTGTATAAACTTGTTATTATATATATTTTTCAATGAATCATTTAATTCATTATTTATCTCTTTTAGCCTTCAGATTTGAAAGTGACTAATGATGAATTAGTGGAAATATCAAATGATAATAAGAGTACAGTGTAAAATGAATATTGAATAAGTAAATTATGATTACATCATCAATATTATAATAATTTATTTACCTATGTATTTATTAACCCTTATTTATGACATTTCATCTCAATACAATGTTTCTAGACAGTTTATTTATTTATTTGAAAATATAAATATTAGTACAATGGGGCACCAGATACATATGCGACACACAAATCTCATTTGATTTGTTTGAGGGCTGTGATACTGCCCAGGTGCCCAAAATGAAGCAGGTGCTTTAATTAGGGGGTCACACCAGGAGCCTTTGACCTAACGATCTGATCCACAAGACAGTGGAGCAACGTAAGGAGATGCAGTCCTGTGGTAGCCGGTAACCAACGATTGATTCATACGCCATTTGTTCCCTCAGGATACTGAAGCCAGCGCATGTGCACCATTGGTTTGGAATCTGGGTTTTTCAAATCGCCTAGGTGGACTTTCAGTGTCCACCAACCCGGTTAAAGCGCCAGACATTCGCTATTCGTCCTCTCAATTTCATAAACAACAGTACTGACACGAGAAGGCAGTGAGTAGGAGTTCCCTGGCAGATGCTTTATACTCGTGGCAATGTGACAGCATTTCGAGAGGAAGAGCTGACCTTCCCCACTCTCGGGGGATAATGATAAGAAATGCTTTATTCAATATAATGATCGATAGTCATTTCTTCAGATGATGTTCTATTCAATTCATTCAAAATATACAAAATATGAAGAGTTTAGTTTTAATTTTTTAGAGTTAGCGAATACGCTGAATTATTATTATATTATTATTATTATATTATATTATATTATATTGAAGTAAGAGATGGTGGAGAAGATTTTTAGATCAGGTGGATGATTTTGATGGAGTTTCGTGCCCTAAGCTGGATGGTTTGATCGTGGAGCTTTCATTATCCTTCTGAAAGACATCATCAGCACAAATTTCGAGTACAAGTGGTGTTTGAATTTCTCCACATGTGGTTCACAGCTTGTCCTGTACACCTCGATGTTGATTGGTTCCTGTTGACCAAACCATCCAGCTCAGAGAACAAAACTTTATCAAAAATTGAAGTGAGAAATTGTCGATATACGTCAAGGTTCTTTCATTATTGATACTAGTGATGACCTAAGACTCTTGGTTAAATTCTATTTTGTCCATAGAGCACCTATTGTTCATGTGTGACGAAGCTACTAATTCACCAGGATTGGTATGGATTATCGGAAAGAGTATGACATAAAACAGTTTAGAATTAGACTGAACGTTTGTGTATTATTCTTGTAGACTTTAAATTCCTTTATATGATTAACTATAAAGTCTTGTCATGTATTATGTTCAGTTCTACGGTTTTACTGAATAAATAAATTTTGGTAACCATCATAATTGATTATCGTGTAAACTAATTACTTTATGACTAAGGGTGAAGCACACCAATAATATCAAGTTCAGACTATACACTAAACTTTCCTAGTCCTCTTAAATTACTCGGATTTACTAATATGGTAACCTTTTTAAAAATTGCTAAAACGGAATTTTCTGCACTGAGGATGTTACAGAGAGGTAGACAGATATCGGCATTCAATACTGTTAGGTCAGCCATGTAAATATTTCCTTGAAATGGATCTCATAATCAGTTACTGGTACACTGCAACGCGCTTTACAACTAAATGTCATTTTTACTGGAGTTTGAGTAAATGTTTCACCAGGATTATTTGTGAGTGTCACTTCTGACCATTCACGATAGGGATCAATTATAACTGCCGTGTAATACTAGTTTAAAAGCAATATACAGTAATAGTTGTGAATACGTTGTCATGATTAATAGGATGCAAGCTAAAGATTTTAGGTAGGTTTATCTAAAGATCGTTTATTTGGACGTTTTTTTATACTTTCGATCCTCATCACAATAAGTGGTGAGCCAAAAAGTTGCTCAACATACCAGGGATTTGATTTTTTCTGTTTCTAGACGTGTATCTAAGTGCTGTGGAAATAATTATCCCGTAACTTAGGCACAGAAATTTCAAGGATTACTAAAATACCTGTTCTACCTTGTAAGAAACAGGAGACCTACACTTGCATTGAAGATTCCGGCCTCTTTTCACTACCCTTATAAATTTTCTAATCTAATGACAAGTATCTTCTACATTTTGTATTCTGTCATCATTCAACGGTTGAACAAACTTACAATCACTATCAATCGGTGCTCTTTCAAACTTTAAAGTGCTTTTTATTCTATCCTCGTTTTTTTAGATCAAACTACTAGAAATTAAGTCAAAATGTGGAAACAATAGTTTTTAAAATTTAAAAATAAACCTGGAACAAAACTAAAGAGTTTAAACCAATGGTTCCAGTGTTGAGATACTCACAGGTAACACTTCTTAAACCGATGAGGTTAAGTGATTTATTCAGGTCTGAAGCCCTTGGCATCTACACTCTAGTCCAGGCATTTGATGGAATTAAGACGGAATTTACACTTGAGTAGATATATGTCAACATTTGTATCACGTAGGTGTCTAAGTAAATTTGAATAGTGTTCATTATGTAACCATATGTTTACAATATGAACTACAATGTCATGTTATTATGGTTCAACAACACAGAAACGTGTCGGAATCTAATTTATGACCTTCTGGGATATTGTAGAATGAACACCTAATGTAAACCATTAGAATTTTTATCTGAATAGCTCAAATAGTAATTGGTTCATCAGAGATACCAAGCAGTAAAATTTTTAAACATGTACCTCCCAGGTCTGTTTTATATGGAGTACTTGACCTTTGTAATATGAAAGGTTGAAAGGTCGTTTAGTGGTAATCATTCCAAATTAAATTGCATTTATCTGTCCTTTTTCAATACGGCTACAATAAAACGACCCAAAATAGACTACCAAGTTGCAAGCCTCATTCTTTTTCCAACCAGTGTATCCGATATTTCCCTCTCAGCACCCATTGAACCACATGAAACCAGTTAATGCTCCAAGGAATATCAACTAAATTTTTATGTCGACAAAATGTGGAAGGACATCTTCAAGTTATTTTTGGTCAGTCACCACTTTTCAATATCAAATATCATTGAGCAGCCAATAAGCTTGATTGAGTTACACCATTATCATGAAAAGACAGTAGGTAGTCTTTTATATTAAAGTTGTACAATACTTACTCCACAATGTTCCTATCACAATCATTGAAGGATGCAAGAGCCTTGCGAAATTTGCAAGAAGTTTGTGAAGATATTTCATCGAATAGTTGTGACGTAACCTGATATTTCTCCAGATAATACGCAAGATCATCCATTGATGGCCAAAGGAAACCTAGCGCGATAGGTTCGGACCTTGGTGCCATAAGTTGCATGAGCATTTCTTTTCCATCTCCGGGTATAACAACCGGCTTCAGAGAGTATCGACCGGATCCTCCACCGTGTCTGGGTCATAGGGGAGTAGATTATTCAAAAAGTTACCGGCTATTTCAACTGTTGTATTTCATCCAGTCTCACTTATTCAAAACAGCATAATGAGACAAATACAATCGTGTTTAGTAACTAGGCCCTGAACCTTGGAACTTCGACCTCAAACCTTGACTAGACGTTTTCAGCTTTGCATGACCGCACCTTTTCAAAAGTACTTCGCAGAATATAGGCCAACTTCTCAAACTCCCCAATCACTGTCTGGTTAACTAGTAACTACTGGCAAACTTTATGCGTACCAGTGACAAGGTTGAACTTACTGGTTGAGGATTGGGTAGAAAGTTCGTAATAAATATATTTTCGCGATGCCCCGATTAGCAGAAAACTGTATTTATGCCTCACTTTATTATGTTGATAGCTTCTAAGTTATTCATGGACCACGATTTGTCAGAAGAACGGAAATCAGCAAGCTCATAATTATATATATGCATACTTATATTCTTTAACACCTCCGTAGGATCGTTAGTTAAGAGGTGTTATAATCCTTCTGTTATGCCTTTTACAATATGCGGATCCTTGACGAACCCAGAGTATTAGTGTCTAATGGCACAAAGATTCTTTGGACCAACCTTTGGTTCAAGACTTAATAAATTTTGAAGGTGTTCAACTAGAGTAACTTCACCGCCTTCTAACTCTGGTGAACAGAAATGTGTAACATTAGAGAAGTCCCTAACATTCTCCTTCTCAAACCCTCTTGATTTATGAACTAGTGAGTTCCCTACTATAATAGTCTACTAGATGTATAAACAGAAATTTCCCTCTTTTTCACAAACCTCCAGGTCTTTGCTTGTCAAGCTGACCGACTTACTTCAGATTGATGTTAATCGTCACACTTTCAATGACGATCGTAAAATTTTTAGAGCATCTAACTTCATTAAATCAGGATACGAACAATTATCTAGTCCAGATAGGGATTATACTTAGACCTACACTCTTTATTGAGGACTCTATATACTTGCACTATCTTGCCTTTAATTGCTAATACCAAAATATTTCGGAATTTTACGGACTTACGCAGCAATGGATGGCACTATTTTTTTGCAAATCTCGATAATATACGCAATAGAACTTCACAATTTTATCCTCCATTGCCCTTTCCAAGAAAAGAAAACCAGAATCTTTTTTTCTCTCGCCTTAAACGACTTATAGCTAACCGAAAGCTTATGGCATCAGAAAAATGTTTTACTCATATGATTTTCGCCTCAGTTTACACATTTTGACTTGATTTCATCTATACTAAGCAGAAGCTGACGCATGCAACAAGCTACTTTGTCCAAAGCTTGTCTACAACGTGTAGCTATTTGTCCATATATTACTTACTTACGCTCGTTAACAACAATGGAGCATAGCTTGCCGACTAGTGTTCTCCAATCCACTCTGTTCTAGGCCTTCTTTTCTAGTTTTATCCAGTTGTTGTTCATTCTTCTCATGTCTGTCTTCATTTCTCGGCGTAATGTGTTCCTCGGTCTTCCTCTTCTCCTTCGGCATTCAGGATTCTAATCAAAAGCTTGCGTTGTGACGCAGTTGGCTGATTTCCTCAATGTGTGTTCTATCCACTTCCAGAGCTTCTTCCTGATTTCTTCTTCCGCTGAGATCTGGTTTGTTCTCCCCCACAATAACTTGTTGCTGATAGTTTCTGGTGTCTTCACATCTGCATCAAATCCACTTCCTTAATCGATGCTGACTATCTTTTCAGGCACGCCGTTGTGTCGAAGAACCCTTCATAGTGTTGTTCTGTCCACGCCATCAAATGCTTTCCCATAGTCAATGAAGTTGATGTAGAGTGATGAATTCCATTCGATTGATTGTTCCACGATGATCCGTAGAATTGCGATTCGGTCTGTACACGATTGGTCCTTACGGAATCCAGCCTCTTGGTCTCGAAGTTGGGCGTCTACAGAGTCCCTCATTCTGTTTAACAATACTTTGTTGAAAACGTTTCCTGATATTGAGAGAAGAGTGGTGCCCCTGTAGTTATCACACTTGCTGAGATATTTCAATGATATTTTGATCAGAAGTCTTTCTTTACAGTCTCTCGATGCTTCTTCTTCATCCTAAATCTTACTAAAGAGAAGGTGGAGTATCTTAACAGTTGCTACTACATTTGCTTTCAGTGCTTCTGCTGGAATGTTGTTTGGCCCCATTGCTTTGTCGCTCTTGATCTGTCTGATGACCATACTGATCTTCTCAATCATTGGTGGGTCAACATCGATTGGGAGGTCTGTGGGTGCTGTTTCGGTGTTGGGTGGGTTCAGTGAAGTTGGTCGATTGAAGAGTTATTTGAAGTGTTTTACCTATCTACTCCGTTGTTCTTCAGTGTTTGTGATTACCTTGCCTTCCTTTCTTTCCGTTGTTCGTTCTGGTTCACGGTAATCTTCAGCGGTTTTCTTTGTTGTATCATACAATTGTCTCAAGTTTCCTTCTCTCAGCCTTTTCCGCCATCCTTGCTGAATCTCCCACATATTAATGTTTATCGGTTCTGATGCTTCTCTTCACTTGCATATTTACTTCTGTGTATTCGGCTTGTGTCTCGGCTCTTTCTGCTCTTGTTCGGCTGACATTGATTGCTGCCTTCTTATTCCTCCTTTCTTGAATCTTATTCAGTGTATCAGCAATGATCCATTCTTTGTGGTGATGATTGGTCCAGAACGTCCTGATTTGTTCATATCTAATGAGTATTATTAGACCATTACTCAGTTAATTCAGAAGTTTCAAATAAGCGACCATTTATTATCAACCACCTGTTTGTTTCAGCTCTTTTTTCTCTAACTCTAATGACAACTATTCTACCATACTTTTTTAAAGTCTAGATTAAAGTCCGCTGAGTAAGCCGTTGAATTTGATGCTATAGAACAACTCTCCATCTAACCATTAACCTGAAAAAGATTTCTGCGTCGTTTTGTTCCACATTACAGCTTTCCATCTAATCCCTCAACCATCTTCGGGTTATTTCGTGTACCATATTTCATAAGCGGAAGATGGTGGGAGTGTGATTTACTTCTCTATGACCTCTCAGGCTTTTCTTTCACAATGATGTACCAAGAATAGAAGTCTATGGTCATCATCTTTTGGATTGGTAACCACGTACATGCCAAGCTGCTTGATGGACTTCCAATGCTTTATTTGCTCACCAGCATTCTTACGTTGTCCTGCTTTTATAAGCTTAAGACCAATACTTGGAGATGACATAGCTACCTATATTCTGTTACATTTTGGCTTCTCTAAAGTCAGCTTGTCTCTAGGGTCATAATGATAACAGATAACAAAACATGAACATATCCCCGAAGTTTATCGTCGCAATCGCAAGCATTAGGTGTTTCAGAACTTGTTTTCCCCTTTATCTTCAATGACTCTATAAAGGTGCGATGATTGTTTCCTCTGCCTATCCTTCAACAAACCAGTTTTCAACGTCTTTTTTCCCTTAACTCTATTTCCTTCGATTCAGCTAACACTATCCTTTACTATGCTGAACCAAAATTATAGCCATAACCTGAAAATCGGTCAAAAGGGACTGGACGAATACCTATCACCATGGCTTGCTGCATTTTTTCTCAGTTAAGCATTGAGTTTGAGATGCGATTCATAATGCGCTCACCAGCATTTCAAATATTGGTCTGTAGATAATAACTGCTCACTTGATAACTGTAATGACCAAATTTTCAATATTCGATATGAACGAAGATGAATAACTAACCACAGTATGCATAATGAGATATAACTTGGTTCGGCCGTATGTTGCACAAACCCTTTTGAAGTCACTTGTTTTAAATTGATCAAAGCACAAACTATGTGCCTAATTTGATCTATTCTAATTTGACGGGCTAAAAAAAGTATATTGAAATTACAAAGTGACTCATACAGTACAGGTTTTGCTACGTAGTTAAATAGTGTAATAAACAGAAAAGAAAGTGGTTGAAAAATAAATGTTCGGCGCTTGAGTATTTCCAACAAAACGGAATCAAATATCTACCTGCAAATTTTCAGGCAGTCGTTTACATCAGACAGGCAAAAGTCAAAGATTGATGATCGAACCACCTTGTATAGTTGAGTTTAGTTAAACATGAACAAACTTTCAGTAGTCCGAGCATTATGTGACAACAAAGCCTAACAATAATGGTAAATTTTAGGTGGAAAAATATGATAATGTACGAAACAAGCAGAAATGCAGAATACAAAAGATGGTTGTTGGAGTACTTCATGATGGCATTTTTTCCTTACATGAAATGTGACACTTTTTAGGGCTATCGAAATCCTTTCGTAAGAGTGCAGACTCTTGGGTAGAAACTTACATCATCAAATAAACAGTCGGATAACGATAATTTATTGTTGAATAGATTCTCTAATCCTTTTCCAATTTACTTGTCTATTATGTCATAAATTTCGATAAATTTTCAAACTTTAACCCGTCACCCTGTAATCAATTCACGTGAGTTTCAATTTCATAGCTCGAGTTTCACAATCGACTTATTTGCACATCCACTTCACTCGCTTACACAATATTTGAAGATGGTTAAGTATGGAAAGCAATGAACACCAGAACGTTTTACCCGGTCCGCACTCCATATCTATTTAAAAGAATGTCAGGAATTGAGCGGAAATGGTCTCACTTTAGATCTAAAGGAGAAAACACTTTTGCGCGGGTTACTAGTTTAGGGGGAGCCTAAAGCTTGCACCTATGTAGATAAGTATCGTTTGGATCCAGATAAGATGTCCACTAAGTTAACATTTAAGCCTGTCATGTGCTGGAGTTCACCTATGGTCATTCCTAGATAATTGGCGCATTTTTAGAAATGCTGATGGTTCTGTAGTCGTGATGGGGTGTTTAAAATCGGTGGTTACACAATCGTTTTGGTTGTGGTATGTAAATCTTATGCTACGTGTCGTGTGTTCATTGAAAGTGTGGATCAATTACATGATTAACCGTGACCGGGCATTATCCAAAACCAGAAAATAAAAATCCTAAGTAAGAACATTGCATAGATCTGTTATTTATTTTAAGTCACTTGAGGCTTGTATTTGACAGAGTAAACCTCGGTTCTGGTGATGTCCGAAATCCTATCGACAGATGCAGTCAGTTTTTCTACGGAGTTGTCTGGTATTGAGATGGGTTCTGCTTGCACCTGTAGGGGAAACATAAGTAAGATGTGTTTCTGAAGAGGTCCTTGTTAAAAGTTTGCTGACCAATGAACTCCCTCATATGCGGCGACATTTCTGTTGCTAATGTCTGTTGGACTTGTGTGTAGCTGAATATTTCGTCTAACCGTTGTCGGCTGGTTAGGTCTCCACGTTTAAGGATAGCCTTTTTGAAGATGTTGTCACGTTCAAAAACATCACTAGTAAATATACTGGATGTAACTTATCCGTAGAAACATCGTTGTGATTTCCTCACTACCACGAGTGATTGCGCACGTTTTTGTGTTACGTCGTATGTAACAGAACAAAGTTTCGTTATTATCACGCCAGAATGGCATAAAGGAATATGAGGAGTCAGAGTTTACATTTTTAATAGTTTGTGTCGCTGTTCCAGCATTACGTAAATAAAATGGATAAATAGACGACAAAATCCCAGGGTTAAAAAATATCGTGAAATGGGAGAATTAAAAGTTATGCATAATGTCACAACAAGGTAGAGACTTACAGTTAATCGTTTGGTCTACCCGGCCAGTTCAATGTCACCACTAAAGGTCCTACAATTATTCAGGGTTTGATAACGCTTTTATCCTTGTGATTGAAGGATATCAATCAGGTCAAATCATAGGTCAGGGGTGAATGAGTTTGGAAATATATATGGGAAGTAATCGAAAAGTTGAGGTCAGTTTAATCTAACTTGGCTAGTTATCGAGAGGTGTGCGTAGAGCGGCGTACCCAATGGTAATCTGGCATATATTCGCGACTGATCATACGTACCTGAGGTTTTCTCAGTGAAAATAATGAATTAAAAACCAATGTCAAATGCTTACACAACCTTTTAACACTACAAGCTAGACCACACTCAATAGACTTCAATGCAGTCCTTGAATCGTTCTATATCACAGAAAAAAGGGTCAAAAAGCTGGCTTGTGTGTATCAGCTCAACACAAGTGAACTTCATTTGTCTTTTTAGTGTTTGTTGAATCTATTGTACATTGAACATGACATGACAACGGAGTAACTTGTCATGACCGCGGTGTTTGGTCATTTCGCATTAGACTACCTCAATGTTCATTTACTTCATCACCTGTTTATCTTGAATCCTTCTCTCCGCTATGTCCTTCAATTCTCACACAGTTTCACATGTAGTGATCACTGTATGTGAGTCGATAATGTGCTCATATTTTAATTTTATCTCAACTGTAGTTCTACGTTAATTAAACTGATCGCTATCAAGTGGCTGTTGAATCATCTACTGAAAAGGCTTAAAAAACGCTGTTCACTCAATCCGTCTTCCAATTCAAGGAGCTTTCATTATAGTCAAAAGCCGAAAATGTTTCAATGCCATTTGATAACGTGATAAATATACATAATTATCTCAAACTCGATGAGGAAAACCATCATTTTTATTCATGGGAGTCATTTTTTGAGACTTCTCTCGATTTTTCGTTGCAAGTTATGCATGACAGTGTGCGTGGTGACAGCGTTATTTTTCATCATAGCGCATTTGTCGAATAGTCCGAGTCGAGTCGTATACACTCACCCTGATGAACTTACCGACAAGGACAGCTGTAGTGTATCAGGAAGCAAAGGTATTTTTTGTAACTGTTAATTTTTTACTTACTAGTCTGTTGTCCGAAAAGCGGTGACCTTGATCTAACCCAATATAGCTCAGATACTCCCACAGATTTTCTGAACTTGTTGTATGTATCTCAGCATGTTTGTGAGGGGAGCTGGAAACCGGAATGTGTGTCTACACAAAAGATAGCTGTCATTATACCCTACAGGGAACGAGAAAAGCACCTCAAGCTACTATTACCGAGACTACATGGGCTATTGTTACGACAAAATATGCCGTATTATGTTTTTGTGATTGAGCAGGTAAGGAGTTTATGTTTATAGTATAATTTCTACAAGTTTGGATTTATACTTATTATTTTACCACTTACTTGACATTCTTATAAGGTTGAAACCTGTTCGATAGGACAATTGATGGAATTAGAGTAGTTGCTGAGTGGTGCAGTTTATGTACTAGTGACTCGAGCTATTCTTATTTTTTGTCGTTCGATAATGATCGTTATTCAATTAAACGGCATAACGGTTTTATACCGATTACTGGAATCTTCAATATTTTGTTGATCGAATCTTTCTTGGGTATTACAACTCAAGGATATCTGGCAAACTTCACAGGACAGAAATTCATTTATCGCTCATAACTAATAAGTTACTGTATAGATTGTATAATGAGGTTTGAAGAGAACACATGATAATTGGTCTCACTACTAGTCAGATAAATGAAGCAGTTAGTCACTAAGTGCACACCACTAACATTTAAATGTGTTTTACTAATTTCTGACCAAATATATCGTATTTAATGTATCAGAGTAACATATGAAAAGTTATGACTACTACTTATTCCCCGCAATTACAAACTTTAAGTGTAAGGAGACACATTGTTCCACCTAGAGACCTTCAACTTCGACAGGATGAGGTGGATTATGTCGCTGGGTTTGACAGAAAACTACTTCTCCTTCTTGGTCAATTTAAAAATATAAAAGTTAGTGATTCATTTTGAGAAGAATTATCCATGAGCCTTGTCTGTCGTGGAAAAACGATTTATCTTGAATAAGAATGGAATGGTATCCACACGGTTTTAAATACATCCACAAAATAATCTGTTTGACTAACATAGTGTCTGAAACCAAACTCTGTGATAATCTGATGCTGAAATAGCTTTTGTGAAGAACAGGCCTTGGATAATTAAGATGATTTCAGGCTTATCAAAAAATGTGCTCATCAAATATTTACACAACATTAGGTTGTAGAACACGGATGTATTTAACGACGCTAAACTATAGTCAAAATTCAGGACCTCAGGAAAGTGTTTGACTCCATTAAACGAGGAATTTTGTGGCGATGTTTTTCACTGGAAGGTGTTCTAAAGAAGTACATAAGTTCTCAAATGGTCCTGCATCTGACTAGAATAGTCAATTTCAAGGGGTTTTCATCAGGGTTGCTCACCATCCAACTCTTGGTCTATTGTCTTCACAGATATCTTCGAAAAAATGACACTATTTCAATTTTAAAGATTTAGTCCGATCAGGTGATTCACCTGTCAATTTTTAATACGCAGATGGCATGTTTTTAATTAGTAAAAGCACTGAGCATCAATGCAAACATGCATAAGATACTTTACTGTCCCTCGAAATGAAAAACATTGCTCCGGAACTGGTCAAAGTTAGTGTCTAAACTTTGATTAATGCTTTGAACACCTTACCTCTTTTGGTAGTCTCATAAATCCAGGCGCATTGGTAACTAATAAAATCTGCGGACGGATAGTAATCAATCCTAAATTACTTTCAAAATGGTGTTATTATCTAAGGAATTTACCTGGGTTTGCTATGTACATAAACATTAAAACTTTTTAAGTTGACTGTTTATTTTTTTCTAAGGCTGGGACCACTCCTTTCAATCGTGGACTATTATTTGATGTTGGAGTTTTACATGCATTGGATATTGATCCAGATATTAATTGTTTCATCTTTCATGATGTTGATCTATTACCTGAGAATAGTGAAAATTTTTATATTTGTGATACAGAATTAAGACATTTATCACCTGCCGTTGATGACTTACGATACCATCCACCATTTTTGAACAGTGCAGGAGGTGTTGCTGCCATGTCTAAAAAAAATATTTTCAAGGTGAGGAAAAAAGACGTTACTCAAACTAATAAAAATTCGAAAATATTTTAAAAATATTTGTTCTCTATTCCTAGGTATTATATTTTACTCAAGTGAGGGAACGATTTTCCAGGAAAACACTTCAAGTGGATGTACCTTTTCAGGACTGAATTAAGAATTCATTTACAATAATTGTAATAATTTCTCATCTTTTAATTAATCAATGAAATGAAAACTGTTTCAGTGTTTCAACTATTATATTTCGGTCAGAAGAAGTTTTGTGGAGATTTCAGTATTTGCATAGTTGAAATCATAAGTCAATTGAAGCTAGACCACCATGGTAAACCTCGAAGCACTGGACTGCCGTTTTATCCTATTATGGGTCTCTTCAACAGTGCGCATCCATGGACAAAACGGCCGTCCAGTGCTTCCAAGTTTTCCATGGTGGTCTAGCTTCAATTGACTAATTATTTCAACTATGTAAATATTATATTTCGGTTTATTTATTGAGTTTGTTAAAGTTACGGCATAGTATATGATGCTTAATAAATGTGAAAGAGTAATTTAAATGCACGAAATAATTTCAAAGTTTCACATTGTTTAATTTCTCCGTATATCTCCCAAATTACTTCCAGTAATGTTCAACAAACCTATCATGTCGTGCACTACTTGAACTTTCGCAAATGAGTATTATTAAAAAGATTGTTAATTGGTTAATTTCAAAGTATAATTTTCAGTATAGTTCTTTTCTAATATTAGTTTACCGCGTTGTTGTCTTTAAACACAATAACTATATATTCTGATTTATAATCGTTTAAATTCGCAAAACTCAGTGATCTCTCTATTTAAGCTTCAATGTTAGTACTTAGTTTAGATGTTATACATTTGATGTTTAGTTAAAATAATTTCAATAGTTGAGATCATGAATCAATTAAAGCTAGAGGCGGGATCGTAGATGAACACTGCTGATGAATCCCACAATAGGATGAAACGGCCGTTCAGTTCTTTTAGGTTTTTCATGGTGGTCTAGCTTCAATCGACTCATGATCTCAACTATTGAAATTAATATAATGTCTACAAGACCCTTTCTAACATTAATCTAGTTGAAAGGTTAGTTATTAACTTTGAAAAGATATGTAATTTAACATAGAAATAGTTACCATAATCAAATGTCATCAGAGTTCATATGTAAACATACAAATCCGGTGAATCACAATATAATATACTTAAGTAGAAATTTGATGTCGAATGGCGTAAATTGACTAAATTCTTATATACATTCTTAAACTTTTAGTTATTTAAGTTCACTTGGTATTGTAAGCAAAGATGGATAGTGGCTAACAGTGGAATCCAAGACGCGCGTTTCGTCCTATTTGGTATTGTTTATTTGAATCTTCTCATAAATGTTTAGGACTGATCAATTAATAAGTCTCTTATTGGTATACGTGCATACTGTGCGTATCACCTCGATATTGCTTTATTAGTTATTTAGTCAATCATGTGTTCTTAAAAATATTGATTCCTGCAATGACATTGATGGTTAAGCTTATATTATATAAGATGGTGGAGAAGATTTGTAGCTCAGGTGCATGATTTTGATGTAGGTTTGTTCTATGAGTTTACTGTAAAGCGTCTTCGATTACTTTAAGCCGCTGTATTTCAATGTATGTAGTACTTTTTGATGATATTGAGAAATATGAAAACTTCGACTATTACTGATTAGTATTTCAGTTTTTATTTCAGAAAATTGGACTTTAATGGATCAGTTAAATGATACTCATTATATGTTTTATGTTGGAAATATTTAAAAAAAACCTCTATCCATTATGAAATAAGTAAAACTGATAGGTTGTTTATTAGCTTTTATGAATGTTTTCTTGAACCTATTATTAACATATTATTATTAGTTAGGTAAATTAAGTCATATATATTGATTGTTGGGATCTTCCCATTGTTGTTTAGGATTGCAGTTGATTAGTCTCTTTTAAAATATGTGGTTCCTGTGTGGATTACCTCGCCAGTGCCTTCAAATCACAAGAATTTTCAAAAAAATATCGACAATGGGTTGCAATGAGATCTAGTAGCTATCTGGTCTCTTTGGCTATGTGGTTTATGTATGACGTTTAAAGTGAACGGTACTGGGTTAAAGTTCAAATGTGAACATCATTCCTATGATACAGATGTGCCCAGCCGACAAGTTCAAAATAGAAAAAAAACGCGATTACTATATTCCTATGCTAACCATTATAGACATTTGCTCAAAACAATTCAGTTGTCCTCTGCTTTTTAATAATTACAATAATTGATCACTTTCAAACAAAATCGTTTTAATTTATTTGGAAATAGTTGAAAGGAGTTCCTAGACCTTAATCAATACACCTAGAAGTTAAATTAGTTTGATCAAAACAAAACTTGACTAACTGCATTTTATTAATATTAAGGATTAGAAAAAATATGTCATTGGTTACTACTAATTAACCAGTCAGTATTTGATATACTTTATAAAAGTTTATTTACTACAGAAAACAAAAACGATTTTTGTTATCAGTAACTTCCAAGTTTTCCATAGTGGTCTAGCTTCAATTGAATCATGATTTCGACCATATCAAAATCACTAAAATCTCCACAAAACCACCCTTCTGATAACTATCGTCATTTTCATAGTTGAAAGCATGAGTCATTTCAGGCTAGACCACGATGAAAAACCTGGAAGCACTGGAAGGCTGTTTAGTCTTATTGTGAGACTCCCCAGCAGTGCGCATCCACGATCCCGCCTCGCGAGATTCGAACCCAGAATCTACCAGTCTCGTGCGCGAGCACTTAACCGATAGACCACTGAGCTAGCCGGCATCCATCGGTGTTTATGTCTAACTACAACTAATTCACGAAGTTGAGCAACCGTTCATTAATTGTCTTCTGTGAGTTCCTATGTCACAGCAGGCATGGTTTGAACTCCACTGGTCACTACTTCTGACTAGAACTCCAGGACTTATCTCTTGAAGTCACTTACTAGTAAGCATATGATTATAATCAGAAGTAAGTTTTTGTGGAGATTTCAGTATTTTCATAGTTGAAACAGATATTCAATGCTTCCAGGTTTTTCCTTGTTGGTCTAACTTCAATTAACTCATGCTTTCAACTATGAAAATACTGTAATCTCCACTAAACCCTCCCCCCTTTTTGATTATAACTATCGTTATGTTTGTTTGTTTTTGAATTGATATTTTTTCCCCTTTCCCTTTCCCTTTTTTTTTCTTTTTAAACAAATAGATAAACGGGTTTCCAACACGTCATTGGGGTTGGGGTAGTGAAGATGATGAATTTTCTGTACGTGGTTTATTATATAATTTAAAATTAACTAGACCACCTGAATTAATTGGACGTTATAAAGCACCAAGACATAAAAAATATTCTATATCATTTAAACATCAAAGTGATTTTTTAAAATTTCGTAATTATTTACATGATGGTTTATCTATATTAATTCAAAAAAATTTTTATTTTAAATGGAAAATTAAATCATTAAATAAAAAATTAAAAAAAAAAATTACATTACATAAATTTCAAAAATTTCAAATTCCCTCCTTTTTAAATTCATGTACGCGCCAAAATATTTTATCACAAATCAATTTAAACAATCATAATAATAATAATAATCATTCAATTGAAATTGTTTATGATTTAAATAATATTTCTAAATATAATTATGAATTATTAAATGATTTATCTCGTAATGAATTATATATACATTTTATATTTGATCCAATTGATTTATATAAACAATATAAAATGATCTTAAAACCTATAGGTAATAATACTGATGAATCTTTATGGTGGTATTTACATTTCTATGGATGGATTTAACAGATCTATTATGGAATAAAATAGATAGATATAGATGTATACTGTTTACTTGTATCCCCCCCTCTCTCCTTACATATATATATATATATATATATATATCCGTATCTTTTGTTTGTACCATACTTATTATGATTACATAATAAATAAAATTGTGTAATAAATTACAATATCTTTATCTTCAGAATGTATTCGTATTTTGTAGTTAACGACCGAAGTGGACTCTCTACCCCCCTCCCTCCCTCACTCTATATATGTATAGCTTTTGTTTGTACCATACTTATTATGATTACATAATAAATAAAATTGTGTAATAAATTACAATATCTTTATCTTCAGAATGTATTCGTATTTTGCAGTTAACGACCGAAGTGGACTCTCTACCCCCCTCCCTCCCTCACTCTATATATGTATAGCTTTTGTTTGTACCATACTTATTATGATTACATAATAAATAAAATTGTGTAATAAATTACAATATCTTTATCATCAGAATGTATTCGTATTTTGCAGTTAACGACCGAAGTGGACTCTCTACCCCCCTCCCTCCCTCTCTCTATATATGTATAGCTTTTGTTTGTACCATACTTATTATGATTACATAATAAATAAAATTGTGTAATAAATTACAATATCTTTATCATCAGAATGTAGTCGTATTTTGCAGTCAACGTCAGAAGTGGACTCTAAGCCTCCCTCCCTCCTCTCTCCCTCTCTATATTTATGTATACCTATATGTATACTTATTTTGATTAAAATTACGTAATAAATCACAATAACTTGACCTTCAAAATGTAATGGTATTTTGCAGTTAACGGTAGAAGTGAATTCTCTCCCCTTCTACCCCTTCTCTCCCTCTCTCTCTCTATATATGTATATCTTTTGCTTGTACCATACTTATTATGATTACACAATAAATAAAATCGCGTAACAAATTATAATATATTTATCTTCAGAATGTAGTCGCATTTTGCAGTTAACGACAGAAGCGAACTCTCCCTCCCCCTTTTCCCCCCTCTCTCCCTCTCTATATATACCTTTTAGTTGTATCATACTAATTTTGGTTATTTTCCTAAAAAAAAGGGAAGAAATATGTAAATGAAAACTAGTAAAATGAAAAAAAAAGTAGTTGAATCCTTTTTTTTTACAAAAAATTCTCATTATTCTATTAATATGTTCTCCCTTTATTTTCGATTAATTCACTATATGTGTACATATTCTGTATATCTATCCATTATTATTATTATTATTATTATTATTATTATTATTATTATTATTATTATTATTATTGTTTTCAAGCTGTACACCGGTGGTCTTGTTTGAATAAACAATCTATGCTTGTATTGAATTCAATGTATGTCAAATAAAAGTGTATATTCATATACATTTGTTAGATGACCTTCTAATTTCTTTGGTTCTTCATTATTTTGATGTAAAAATTACATATAAAGAACTAAATAGAAATGACTTATGAAGTGTATGTCCTTTTTTGCTACTTGTTTAATTTATTTTGATTGGTTGAAGTTAGACATGAACACTGTTGAATATCGGCTAGCTCAGTGGTCTAGAGGTTAAGTGCTCACGCGCGTGACTGGCAGGTCCTGGGTTCGAATCTCTTGAGATGGGATCGTGAATGTACACTAATAAGGAGTCCCACAATAGGACGAAATGACTGTCCAGTGCTTCTAGGTTTTTCATGGTGATCTAGTTTCAATTGACTTATGATTTCAACTATTTAAAAAAAATATTTTGATTTGCTGGGCAACCTTTTTATTGTTTTATGTGGTATTCCACTATGATAATGATAAAATAGCTTCCTATTCACAAGTTTAGACATCTATAAATTAGAAGAAAGCGTGATTGATTAGAAGGATTTGTCAATTTTTTCATTATCTAGTCTATCTACCGTAGCACAACAGCATGTGCAATAACCATAGTAACTGTAGTTTGAGTGTCGCTTGAAAAACTGAAAGATTTGATATGTTAGTTGTGGAGATAGGTTCAATTCTGAGATGTATTTTTGGAAACTTTGAAAACACTGACTAGCCCATTTTTAGTTTAATCCACACCCACGATCCAGTAAAGGATTAAACTGAGGACATTTAGATGTCATGGAGACCATATTTCTCTAGACCATTAGATCACGATGCAATGGTACACATTCCCGAATTCATTTAAATTTTGGTTAGGTTCAACTGTCATCCAGTATCATTTACAAAACCTGTTTTTTAAATATATTTGAATTTCGCCGGTCATATCTTTTCAGTAAAACAAGAAGTATGCCAAGTAACTAATTACCTAAAATTCAAACAAGCTTAAAAGATTTAGCTGAATAAAGAACACGAAAACACTGTAAAAATGCAATGAGGCAAGGAATATGAGCGAAACTATTCCCTAAGCTTATAATAACTGTTTGGAAAATATGACATAGTAGACTACTATACTAGTAACTTGACTCTGGAGCGTTTGATCCTCTTTTACTTATCAGCCTCTTTTCCAGAACAACATATCTAGCTAATAATTCACTGATCAACATAGTATTGTAAAATTACCCCCCCCCGTGCTTTCAAGTGCATTCTGTTTACTTGCTACTAAGTTCTCCTTCTTAACTTGAATTTAGGAAGTGTAGGAAATTTAGAAGACCAAACCTAAGCGTAATACGTAAACAAAGCGTAAGCAACAATATTCACTAAATACTAAATTAACTAGTCGTATTTTGTTTCTTTATTTCGGATAAATACAAGGTCATAAGTTTAGTCATTTCCAATTATCAACATAATTAAAATCATGAACCGATCTTAGTTAGAAAGTGTGGGAGCGCTAGATGGCCGTTTTGTCTTAGTATATAATTCCTCAGTAGTGAGGCATTTACAATCCCAGATCTTTCAGTCTCTTGTTTGAATGTTTAACCTCCAAACCACTAGGCCCGTATTCAATGGTATACAAGTCTAACCTCAATAAATCCACAATATTGATTTACCATTTCCCATGATAGAATGAAATGAATATCCCGTTATTCCACGATTTCAGTGGTTCTCTAACTCAGATCGGTTACTGAGCTACAAATGTTATTTCATCCTGAAAGGCGTAGATTCCTGAGAATAGGCTAAATAAATCAAATAGAAGCCCATCTTTTCTGTTTTTCAAATGTACATGCTTTTAGATGTTCATGTCAATTGATATGCATAATCTACTCACTATTCTTATCATTTTCAAAGTACTCATGAACAAATTAATGTTTGCCAATTATCAGTTATAAATTCACTTTGTATTGTTTATTTGAATCTTCCCAATGATGTTTAGGACTGATAAATTGATCAGTCTCTTATTGGCATATGTGCATTTGTGCAGATTGCCTCGATACTGCCTTAAGTCATAAACATTATAAGCAAAGATGGTCAGTGGTCAGTAGTGGAATCCAGGACGCGCGTTTCATCCTATTTGGAGATCATCGACAGGATGTGTCTGCATCTCAGAGTTGATGTTCACTCCATCACATCAGCCCAACACCCTTCGCTTAAAACGTCATAGCGCTATCCGCTTAGCTTCTTAGATTCTACTGCTAGTCACTACCCATCTTTGCTTATAATGCTTGTGAATTAAGACAATATCAAGGCAATACGCACAGTATGCACATATGTCAATCAATTGCAGTTCTGAACATCAGTGGAAAGATTCGAACAACCAATATGAAGGGGATTTAAACATCACCCCACTGCGCAACCAAGTAGCTATGAGGACTCAGTAGCTAAATGAATAATGTGATCGCGTTTAAAGAGAACTGTGTTGGGTTCGAGTCGTAGAATGAACATCAACTCTGATATGCAGGTACATACAATTGACGTGTCCCAAATAGTACAAAACGCACTTCCTGGATTCCACCACTAACCACTAACCATCTTTGCTTATAATTATCAGTTATATTTAGTTTTGAATAAAACTATTTCTGCAAAATATGTAAGCGCCCTTAACTTATTTCAATTTCTATGAAAGTTTCTCCGATTCACTCATGAATAACATGATATAGTTACTGTATAAAAGGATGTTTGCAATAATAATCATGTAATGTGAATAATAATAGTAATAAAATATTGTATGTGTGTGTGTGTGGGAATAGAAAGTCTTGTAAAGTTAATAAGTTAGTAACAGATTATAATGTGAATGAAGTAAGATGAATAAAATGTTTTTTTCATTGTTGAAATCATGAGTCAATTGAAGCTAGACCACCAAGTAAAACCTGAAAGTACTGGACGACCATTTCGTTCTATTATGGGACTCTTCAGCAGTGCGCATCCACGATCTTACCTCGCGAGATTCGAACATAGGACCTGCCAGTCTCGCACCAGAGCACTTAACCGATAGACTACTGAGCCAGCATCCGATGATGTTAATGTCTAACTTCAACCAATCCACGATGTTTGAGCAATAGTTCACCAATTGTCTTCAGTGAATTGATATCTCTACAACAGACTTGGTTGAGGTCCACTGGTCACTGCTTCCCACTAGAACTCAAGTAAATATCTGTTGAAGTTAGTCAATAGTGTTTTTCGCCACGCTAATCAAAAGTATAAGGTGAAGTTAAATGAAATGAAATGATATTAGAAACAATAATCAGTAAAATTATAAGGAGCATGGTATATAAGCTATAGATAGTGCTTACTTTTGACTCGGATACGAGAACATGTCCCAGTAAGGTTCTACAAGACTGATAGAAAGGTAGTTGAAAGATCCATTCTTGAACTTCTAATCAACTCTAATCATTCTACTGATCCACAGGTTGATCTTAAGATCACTTATACAATTCATCTAAACCTATCTAGATTTTTTCGTACCCAACTTTAAATAGCAGAAGCTCTCGGCATCCATGAGTTGAAGCCAGATATAGGCGTATAAAAGAAGTATATCTGATCCTTATTGTTACCATGGTCTTGAACTATTATTATTTTTCGTATTTGAAAGTGTTTCTCTTTCCTTTTGATAATATCTCATCTCCTCATGATTTTATTCATAATTATTTCTAATATCATTTCATTTAACCTCATCTATTACCTTTGATTGGCGTAGCTTTCTATAACAATAATTATTCTTTTTTATTA